TATATATATATAAATTATGGTTAGGTACAAAAATATGGATATTTATCATAACTCTAAAGGCATCAATAAAGCATAATACATTTAAATAACTTTCCAAAGAATTCTAATAGCAGAATCACAATGGTATAATTTTGTCAAATCAATAAAGTGTCTAAAATATCACGCACCTCCTTTAAATTCTGGCTGGGAGACGGTCTTGAATTTTTCATATTTAGAAATATACTGCAGTATATGTTAATTATCCAACATAAATTTATTTATAAAAATGAAATAACCATATTTAGAATTTCCTTATTTGTCGCCTTCCCTTTGATGATTTAGTTCGAAATTAAATTTAAATAAAGATGATTTTGAAAGTCAAATCAATTTATTTATGAAAATTAAATGAATATAGTATTTAGAATTTGCTTAACTGTCTTCACTTTGACAGTTGAGTTCGAAATTAAAATTAAATAAAGATGATTTTGAAAATTAAATCGATTTATTTAAGAAAATTAAATAAACATATTTACTATTTAATAATCCTTCTCCTGCCCTTTGACAGTTGAGTGCAGTTAGGTAGGAAGAGGACTATTAAATGATGTTATCAGTTTACAGAACAATAAGAAGAATATAAAATAGTTAAAATATCTTACTCTTTGATAGTTTACACTTTCTAAGAATTCCTAACTCTTTTCTTAGTGCTGTGAATGAACTGGCAGGTGAGAAATGCATGCTGTACTGTCGACAGGTTGACATTGCTTCTGGAAATCTGTGTTCAGGACACAATCCGATTTCTTTTGTTATTGGGCAATAAGGAATCCATTTATTGTCTAGGCGGCAATTCCTCAACTGCTCTGTCTCTACAAGTATGATGTAAATAGTTTTTAGAGGAATTAAGACGTTTTCGAGATAAACATTTTATTTTTTAACAGTCGTTGAACAACCGACATAATTTTGAGTTTACGGCTACCAATGTTCAACTCCGTAACCTAGTAATTTTGAACCTAATCCAGAAGACAAGGGAACTCCTGGATCAAGTATTTGGGGGGAAATTTGCCTAGGACTTTTTGTTGGAACCAACCCGCATTTGCGTTACATAGAGGGGAAAATCACGAAAACCTCCAATGGTTAGCCTGACGGTGAGGGGACTCTCACCCATGATTCGTCTACCACTGAGGATATTTAGCGTCAGCTCTGTGGTCTGTGCGAGCCGGGTGTGGAATTCGTATTAACCAGTCATGGTTGGGATTCGAACGCTCTATTCAATAAGCCACCACGTTTCCGAGATAAACATTTTATAACCGTCATTGAACAGCCGATGTAAATAGTTTTTAGAGGAATTAAGACGTTTTCGAGATAAACATTTTATTTTTAAACAGTCGTTGAACAACCGACATAATTTTGAGTTTATGGCTACCAATGTTCAAGGCCGTTGCCTTGTAATTTTGAACCCAATCCAGAAGACAAGGGAAATGCAGGAACAAATATTGGGGGGAGGGGCTTGCCTTAGTGGAGGACATTTTGGCGGAACTAACCAGCATGTGCGTTACATGGAGAGGAAAACCACTCACGGTAAGGCTGGCGGCAAAGGGACTTAGTCTATTACTGAGGATAGTTTTACACCATCACTGTGGTCGGTACGAGCAGAGTGTGGAATTCCTATCGACTTGCTATGGCTGAGATTTGAACCCGGTTCACCTCATTGGGAGGTGAACACTCTATCTCCTGAGCCACCACGACTCCCATATAATCATTGATTTTTTTCAACCATAAGAAAATATGTTATTAGTATCTATCATAATAATATATTTGTTCGTTAAAAAAATCGTACGTGCTGCCACAACCTCCACTGTTTTGTGAGTTAAATTTAATGTTGTACTTGTTTTGCTGAGAAAATACTATAAGAATTAAGCACTGGAAATTGCGAGGGCGTGTAGAAAAATGTAACACTAGAATATTAGTTTGAGAATTATTTACTGTTAATGTTATGTAAAGTACAGCATACAGGCTGCCTTAGTGGAGGCAGAAACATCAGAAATGAAACTTGACGTGTTGAAATGACCATTTTTGTTTATAAACGTAACAAAAGCTCTTTAAAAAAAATTCCAATTTTCTCGTAAGTTAGGGTGATTTTGAGTACTTTTATTATGTTTTTCTTCTTCTTTTGTTTCTCTTTTAAATTATGATTTTTTATCCATTGTAGAGAATTTTATTTCTTCCACTTGAAGTTTTTATTTTATATGTTATCGCTTGACTTAGTATAAAGAGTAAAAAAAAAGTAAGTTTTTCTGTTTTCTTCAGTTAAATTTTCTTTAAAATTTAACTGAAGTTAAATTTTAAAGTTGATTGTTTTGATTTTTTGTTGATTTTTGAGTTGATTTTTTTAAAATATTCATGTAATAGTTTGTTTTGTTGCGATAGTCATCTCGGTACTAAGCCTTTTAGTACTTAGATAAATCTAATACCATCAGAATGAATACATTAATGCTGATGTTTTGAAAAAAAATATCTTCAATCTCTAACACCTCCAAGAAAAACTATGTTTCAGGCGGATATTAAATGGCAACGAATTATGATAAAAGAACTATGGATCAAGATTATTTCACATTATTATTCATTAATTTTTATATTTTAATTTCAATTATTTATTTATTTTTCTCACGAAATTGCTAGGGTCGGGATATCCTGGATGGTGGGAAGTTGGGCCCATGTCCAAGAGGTTGTGAGTTCGATCCTCGTCTTCTGAGGACTTCCCATGTTGAATGTGATGGGTTACAAAGTCCTCCATGTTACCACAACAGGTCATACCTCTGGGATGTTGTATTGGAGATTGATCATTCTCTGGTTTAGGTCAGAATTACGATCTAGATTAAGGAATAGACGGGTCTGCCCTATAAACGGGTTGCGACGTATGTGTGTGGTGGAAGTCAAATTCTTGAACATAGATGGCGCCACTAGCAAACAAAAAGAATTGCACGCCCTTTGCCTTAATGTCATACGACAACAACTCGAAAGTACTACTCAGCAAGCAGGGCGAAGGACAGAAGCGATTTTTTCAGACTTTCACTGCCTACTTTGTTTTTAAAAAGCATTAGTTTATGATTTTGTTGCATTTTATGATATAAAAGTAGCATTTATTAATTTACCATCGGCTTCTGTGACGTAAGCAGTATTTTTCTGTGAAGTTTCATGGATATCTGTCGTAATAGTAGCTTCTGATACAGTTTCATGCCTAAAAAATTGAAATGAATGAATGAAAAATTTTTAGTTCGTCAAACAAACATAAAACATCTTGAACTGTCATTCAAGAGACTATGTAATCAATGTTTCTAATATATAGAGTGTTCTGTAAATACAACTCTAAATATATAATATTAGACAACTGCACTAAAAGTGAAGACATAGGAGTATGCACTAGGGTGTTTGCAACACCACTAAAGCAAGAAAAAAAAACAGCAATATATTTGATATTACCAGTACATTCAATACATTTAATTTCAAGCTACTGGATCTCTAAACCTTAGAGATGTGAAAATTGAAGGTTTGTTTTTCAGAGTATACAGTGCGCACAAAAAAAAACGGACCACTTTGAATAACTTTTGATCAAATGGATCTTCACGTTCTGGAACTCAATTTTAATGACTCGAGGGGGTGACCTAAAATATGCTAATTTATAAGTGAGGACGATATTTTCAGTTAAGAAATTAGTCACAAAACGGACTTTCCCTGAAAAAATATTCTATTCTATCAAAAAAGAAGGTTCTTAAAATTTAAAGAGCGGTACAATGTGTAATTTTAACATTAATTTTAAGTATTGGTCAGAAAATTCATTTTACTGGAATGGAAGGACGCTTCAAACACGAATTTCTGCCCTATGTGTAGCATGAAACACTTTAAAAGGATGATTTTAAAATTATTTTATAGGTAACATTGTTGTTGTTCCTTATCCTCCAATTGTCTGACGAAGTCAGACAAGATCCAATAGGTTGTTGACCCTCAAGAGGTCGATGACAAGAAGTGGAGTAGCGTATAAGTCCTCCTTGGAAAGGCCCAAGCAGTCAAGGATGTGTTCGGCTGAGGCCTGCTGGGCTTCACATTTGGAGCAGACTGCATAAGTCTTTCTTCCTTCAAAGTACGAGAGACTATTCATGTGTTCACTTGCCAATCTAGAAATAGCTGTTTGAGACGCTCTATCCCCCATACGAACAAGTGAAGAGCCCGGTTCCTCGGCCGCATACCAATGATGCGAGGGGGGGGGGGATCATCCACTTTTTTGATAGATGACTTCTGATTTTGGACTGATTCTCTGAGTAGGTAGGGGTTGAGGACGAAGGTGTTGAATAACTACAGCTCCCCTTGGCCAAGCGATCCGCTTGCTCATTGCCAAAAATGTCAACGTGGGATGGTATCCACTGTAGATGAACGTCGTGGTGCTTTGAAATAAGTTGAAGTTTTAGAAGGATGGAGATGCTTGTTTTGTCTCCAACTTTAGTCCAATTGTGTAGGTGTTGAAGGGAGTTGCTACTGTCCGACAAGATCCAAAGACCTCCAAAGTCACTCTCGCTCAAAGTCACATCGATGCCCTGTTCAATTGCGATTAATTCGCTTCTAAAGACTGAAGTGAAATCCGGATTACGGAGACAGATGGAGTAATTTTGCCCAGATTTTTCAACGAAAACGCCGCTACCAGCTAGGTCTTCCAGTCCACTACCGTCTGTGTAAATTTTTACGGCGCCACTGGGAATCTCGCCTAAAATTCCCAAAGCTAGCTACTTAAGTTCAGCTGGAATATGATCTCTCTTTGTGACCAGAGCAGAAAAGTCGAAGTGGAAATGGTCTCTGGGGATTCCCTCTGAATGATTCAGACAAGAATTTAAGAAGTGGGGTTAAACGTCTTCAGAAGGCAAATGCAGTTTGCATTCTGAATACAGTTGCAGTCAGCATTGTTAAGGTAAAGAGAGGTTCTATTGTGCTGACCATAGCTAGAAAGTTTGTTGAAGTAATTGGTTAGATTAGCCTTTCTTCTAGTTTGAAGAGGTAGAAGATCAGCCTCAATGAGGACTATTTCTTTAGGGCAACTACGTCTGAATCCAGTAATTATTCTTGCAGCACTTATTTGGACCCTTTCCAATTTATCCACATTAGTGGCAGAAGCACAGCAGTACACAGGAAAGCCATATTCCAGGATGGATCTAATGAGAGTCAAATAGGTATCTCTTAACGTGACAGCATCGGCTCCCCAATCTTTACCCGCAATATATTTAAGTAAGTTTAATCGTTTTCCGCACTTTGAGACAATATGTTCAATATGTTTGTTACTTGTCCATTCTGGATCTGAGACATATCTGAGATATATTGGATGCTTTTCGTAAGCAAGATTCCTGTTATCCATCTTTATATTTGGCTGATAGTTGTACAATCTTTTGTTGGTGGTAAAGAAAGCGACCATGGATTTGGCAGGATTAAAACAAAGGTTGAACTCCAAAGCGTAGTCTGAAAAACCAGATAATGCATTGTTGAGATTCTTCTCCATTTCAACTAAATCATTTCCAGAGCTCCAGAGAATGATGTCGTCAGCAAACAAGCCAACTTCTACCGCTTTAGGAGGTGTTTTCTCAATGCCTACCAAGTAAAAAGAGAAGAGCGTAGGGCTAAGGACTGAACCCTGAGGGACGCCCTGTCCGAGCTCAACTGGGTCTGAGAAGGTGTTGTTAAAATAGGTAACATAATTAATGTTAGCTGACTTACAAATATATAAAGTCAGAAACAAATTATATTAAATTTTGTTTGCAGTTTTATTAAAAATTATTTATATATGTTTGATTCATTTTTAGCTGGAGTATTTAACAAACTTCTAGTCAGTGTGGTCTTATCAGAATTCGATGAGTTAGGGTTCACCATCAAAAGGAAATTGGCAAAAAAACAGAATAAAAATTTCATTAAAGGAACACTCTGGAGCTTTAAAAACAAAATTAATTTTAGATTTGAAAACCCCACACCTGAATTAGTTTATATCAAGCATTAAATGCAACAAAAAACTTTGTTCCTCCATGTAATCTATGTAAACAAAAATTTATAGTTACTTAAATAAAATATATTATGTGATCAATATCCCAAATAGAGGTGTTGCCACTTAAAACAAATTATCAATAAATATGTGATGAAAATAGATTTTGGTAACTCACCTTTCCGTAGTTTCAGTGAGATAATCTGGTGTCGACAATCTTAAATGCTTTTGACAGAAAAACGGAATTTTTTCTCTTTGAACAACGAACTCAAAATCATCTTTTTCGTAGAAGATTGTGATGTATCCTTGATCGCCTGATGATGGATGTTTCTCCTTGTATGTTTCGATTTTTGTTTTAAGCCAATCATAACTATCATTCGTTGACTGTATCTTTAATCCAGAGTCTATGGAGGGCCACCAAATTTGAGTCCAAGATTGAAAATCGGCTGTTTTGTCTATTAAAAGGGACGATAGGATAAGTTTCAAATTGAAAAACCATATGTGTTAACAACAGTGAGTGTTAAGAATTGACAAAAAATATAAACTCTAATTACTGAGGTCAATGTGAATAGTCAGTTATTATTATTACTAATCGGTCAATATTAATAATAACCAAATAAGCCGGTCAAAGTGAATAATTTGATCGAATTTATCACATTATCACAATAACCGGAAAGGGATAACATTTACAAAGCAATGATAGAAGACCCTGAATGATAAGTTTTGTTTTTAACATCACTTTATAGAATCTGGATAAAAATTACATCTTAAGGATTAATGACTCCGAATGTGATTAGTTCTTGTTTTAAACATTGCCTTATAGAACCTTGATAAAAATTACATATTAAGGATTAATGACCCCGAATGTGATTAGTTCTTGTTTTAAACATCGCCTTATGGAACCTGGATTAAAATTACATATTAAGGTTTAATGACTCCGAATGTGATTAGTTCTTGTTTTAAACATCGTCTTATAGAACCTGGATTAAAATTACATATTAAGGATTAATGACCCCGAATGTGATGAGTTCTTGTTTTAAACATCGCCTTATAGAACCTGGATTAAAATTACATATTAAGGATTAATGACTCCGAATGTGATTAGTTCTTGTTTTAAACATCGCTTTACAGAACCTGGATAAAAATTACATATTAAATATGGTTAACACTGAATGATGAGTTTTGTTTTGAACATTGTTTTATAGAATCTGGATAAAAAATTACATATTCAAAGATGATATACCATTAAAGAAAAGTTATTGTTTTAAACATCGTATTTTTGAACGTGGATGAAAGTGACATATAAAAGATGAATTTCCGAATAACCTTGAACGCTTAGTTATCAATTTTAAACATCATTTTATAAAATGTAAACAAATATTATACAGTAAATTAAAGCTCTATTAGTGAATGATCTTAAGCTATTGATTATTGTCAGTTTTAAACATCGCTGTTTGTAACAGTTTGTTGTTGTATTATGATATAATTTCGATAAGAACCAAAAGAACCAGCTCAATACTTACTTTTAGCTATGATGCACGTTTTAAGTGCTTGTAGGTCTTCTCTGAATTCTTCAAGAGATTTCGGAGTGTATAAATCCATATAAGGTTTAAAACAAGTTATTTTAGCAGATTTGATATTAGCAGCAGGGCACAACCCTTTTTTCCCTCCGTTTAATGGACAGTAAGGAATCCATCTACCATTGATCAGACAATCATCATTGACCTCTAGAAATCAGTAGCATAATCATTATTTAAAGTATAATTTAATCATAATCGCTAGCAACAATCGAAAATCTTTATTACACATGTTTCTGTTAAAGTGTAAAATCCGTCATTTCATAGAATAACTAGGTATTTCATGAAATAATTAGACAAGTCACTTAAGGTATATAAAATTATTGAATTCTATGATTTAACTTAATATTCTATGGAATAACGACTACTTGATCGTTAAAGTATAAAATACGCCACTCGAATGTTGTTTGAACCGGTTCTAGCTGCTTTTAGTCAGTTTTGAACCATTTATAGCTGCTTTGCAATGCCATGTGTATACGCTTTATTCCGTTGCTTTCCGAAATAGAATTTGGATTATGTATTTTTGCTTTTCCTTATTATTTTTCAGTTAATCACGCGCAAGAGTGATTAAATGTATTTTTCGAGAAATTTTCGCTATTTATGCACAAATAATTTATAAAATAACTTTGAAATTGTTTACTTTTTACTTTAGCGGTCTATCATTATTTTTTTCTTTGACTAGCTAGTTATTTCATAGAATAACCAGGTAAAGTATGAAATTTTTCATCTATTATGTACTTTAACTGACTTATTTAATTATTTCATAAAATACCTACATGATTACATGTTTTTTATGAGATAAATAATAATTAGTCCCAATGACAGAACAGCCAAATAACATGTTTCAACCATAGCGGAAGTTTCAAAGTTGGATCACGTGTTTCTTATCAGATACAGGGAAGAACCTTAAAAACTAAAGGTTTAATTCGATATTTCGTAGTTATCAGGATATGCTGTATTTAATGGAGTAGTTAGAGGGTAATTAGTGTACTGAAGAAAAATGTAAAATAATACATTTTTACCGAGATTGAAATCTCAAATTTGCACAATGTTAGAAAATTGGATCAATTTGTATCAAACTTTGTATTCTGCCATTTAAAATTCATAATTTAAAATTATGCCAAAATCTGTAGTCCTGACAATTCGATTTTTTCACTATTTTTAAGTAAAATAATAAAAAATAATGAATACGCTAGAAATAATAATAAATAATACGAATTTCTCAGTAAGCGCGCGAATTATATCGGCAAAATTAGTTTTAGTGAAATTACCATAAACAAAAAGTAAAATGATTATAAAGTAGACTAAACTTTCGATCGTTCTGACTGAACGAGACCATTGAATTTTTTTATCGGCTGACTTTTAAAAAAGTGGGGAGGGGGTCGTAAAGACATATCCATCGGAGAAAAGGAACATTTATTCAGAGATAGAATGTTTTCAAAGTAACCTCACTCCCGAAAAATTTAAGATTTGGTAGAAAAATATCGAGGAAGCAAACTGCTTTAACCAATTACTATCAAGCTAAACTATTTGTCAATTTAAATATCTGTGTAACAAATGACCAGTTTAATTTTCTAAAATTATGGAAGTATTGAAGCCAAATAAATTTATAATAACCTCATAACAAATGTGGCACCACTTTTTAAATTTTTCGAAACTGCAATGTGAGAAATCTCTTGGTTAAAATAGTTAAATAGTAATTTATTTAATTGTTATTTTACCATAATCAAAGAAAACAGTGAAAGAAAAACCATAAAAAATATTATATTCAAATTACTAAACTTAACGTTAATTGATTGTTTTTTCCTAATACGGTTAAATAACCAAAATTCTATCCCTCCAACTTGGCCCATACTAATAAAACCTATTTGTTCTGTGCAGCTGGTTACATACTGTAGCTAAGAGGGATAATCGGTCATTCTCATAAACTTCTGAAAGGGGGCTCGAATCCCAACCTTGGAACTAAAAGTTTTCTTTCATTTCTTCAATAGATGAAGAGTTTCTATTGTCCTGCTAATCTGTGACCCTTAACTATACGAATACAAAACTATCATTAACACATAAATGGCGATGCAGCCACAGAGCTAACATGTCCTTTTAAGTTTCATATTTATGGTTTATAAACTACGTTTGTCGAAAATGGTTACAAAACCTCATAGTTTGGAATTTTCAGTTTTTTAAACCGTACCAATTGGAAACGGTTGCGAAACCCTAAATGTAAAAAATATTCCGAACCATAAACTTAATGATTAATCGGATGGACAGACTACTGCTGGTAGTTTTACCGGAATTTCAGAATGGAAATTCTGACAGTGTGCGGCTTCCTTAATTCCGTAGTTTGATTAATAGCTAGTGATAATTAATAAGCATATTTGAGGTTAAAACTTTGAAATATTAAAGATTTGATTTTAGCATGTAAAGAACCGATCATTAGAATATTAATTACTAGGAGGTTTCGCCCCCTGCTCGCTGGCGCTCTCCAACTCCCGGAACTGCTTTTGCAGTTCATTTCCGATTGCTTCGCAATCCGATGCTCGTTCATTGGATACGTTCTTAACGTCTAGCTTTTGTATACTTTTTTGAACACTGAAGTTCCGAAAACTTTTCACGGTGGAAAATTCTAAACCTGTGCATTTCAATATTAATTTGAAATCGCAAACAGTTCGCATATTTTTCGTAATCACACTATTCTAAATTTCAGTTGTTGAGAAAAGTAACTGTTGTAAGTTTTGTTTTTAAGTCTTTCCCACCAGAGGGCTAAAACCATGTGTTTTGAAAGAATATGAAATAGTACTGAACGCTCACTACGAAATAGCACTGATGCTCACTACGTGCTCTTGCGCGCCGAATCCTATCAATTAAAAATAAAAACTGTTGCCAACGCGAGAAAAGAAATGTCATCGGTTTTATTGATACATACGTATTAGCGTTTTATATAATAAGATAGATTGAAGGAGATCTGTTTTTTTTCTTACTGTATGTTTTATATATTCTAAAGCGATGTTTAGGATTCAGATTCTCACCCGTTATAAACTGCATTTGATTATTTATATCAAATTAAAAATGTTTTTCTAAGAGAGAACATACAAACCACGTGTATTGGTTATTAAAATTACTTAATTTACCACTCTGACTGATATATATATATATATATATATATACGATTTTGGCCATCATGTCGTCGGTGAGAGTTTTGTTTTGGACACAGCTCAAAATATCAAAATATATATTTAGGTAAATGGATTAGGAATGCGTGTTTAGGAAAATGGACATAGCATTTGATTTCCGCTTTCCCTTTCTAGTTTTCATTCAACTTACATTTTTAAAATAAATTTAGGCATTTTTTGAAACAGATTGAAAACCAAGTTTTTCAAGAGGTTGTCACAAGTATCATTAACTTTTAGTAAAGATATTAAATTAACGTTAAGTGAATTTAGATTTTTTTAAACCACTTTGTCACTCTGAATGCAAGGATATTCTTGAATATCAAGCTGCCCCAATACCCAAAATCAGGACTTTGCCCACCCTAATGATTATGATAAGAGCTTTGAAAAAGAGGAAAAAAAATATAAATTTCTCCAGTTGTTAAATTTAAGTTTAACTGTTAAAATCAGTATTTCTTGCTGCACCCATTTTCTTAAACACGCATTTCGCGCATTTTGTGATGGCACGATGCAGGCTAAAGGCTTTTTAAAATGCTTCAAATCGCTTTAACGCCCTCCCTCATTCTTGAAAAATGTCATCAGTCGATCGATGTGCCAGCTATTTTTACAGTTGTCGATTTATTTTCTCCATATATTATATATGTGAGTCTAAACATGTTAACTTTAAATACAACAAGTTTTTTCTTTTTACTTTTTGTGTAAAATCGAGGCGAGTAAAAGTTTTATAGCTGTTGTTCATAGCCGAAAAAATTATTTTTTCTTACAAATACCAATTCATCTTTCAGAAGTCTGATAAAACATAAATTTTATAAAGATATACGTTTTTTTGTCTGTAGAATATTTTTTAGAAGTAGATACTTAGAAATGTATTAAATAAAATCGACGTTTGTTACTTTTCCGTTATTAATTCGTACACATGTTTTAAGTTTTGTTCCCATGAGAAACCTGGTGTATCTGTCTGTTTCATGAAAAAACTCAAAGCTCACTGAAGTCTATACGGAAAGAAATTTTTTATAAGTTTACCATCTAAGTCCGTGGTATAAGTTGTATCAGGAAGAGTATCATTGTCATCCGTCACGAAAGTTGTATCTGGTAAAGTTTCACTGAAGTTTTTGATGGGAGTTGTAGCAGGTTGAGTCCCCTTCATATCACTAAAATAAAAAAAGAGAAATTTTTTTTTCAAGTTGAAGTTGTGCGACTCATAGAATAAGAGCAATAGTCATTCTCAAGGTTCAAGATATGACTCAAGATATGACGAGATATGACTCAAGGTTTAAAGACAGGTGTGAAAGGTAAAGAGCTGTCAGTGCGACGGATTTTTTTATAACCGTCGTTGAACAGCTGAACCAAGTTTTTGGGTTTACGACTATTAATGTTCAAATCCGTAGCTTTGTAATTTTGAATCCAATCCAGAAGACAAGGGAACTCCTGGATCAAGTATTGAGCGAAATTTACCTTCATGGAGAACCTGCATTTGAGTTACATGGAGAGGAAAACCACGGAAATCTCCCACGGTTAATCTGATGGCAAGGGGACTCTAACCCGTGACCACCCGCCTACCTCTGCGGATATTTTCCGTCAGCACTGTGGTCGGTGCAAGCCGGATGCGGTTTTTGTTCTTGAAAAGGCAAAAGGCATATAATGACTCTGAGAACTCCTTGGCAATTTCATCTTTCATTGTTCAATTCTTCAGATCATTTGCTATTTCATCTCTAAATTCAGAATGAAGGCCGCAATTCATTAATACGAAAAGAGGCTTTCTTCTTTAAATTTAGACCAGTGGCTATTCCCTCGTTAAATTCAGAAATAAAGGCCAATTTCATTAATATGTATAGATATAACAAAGATCGTAGAAAGGCTGATGCCCCTTGCTACGTGAAATAAAAATTTATTTTATCAAATAAATTTTTTTTATGAAACACGAATTTTCCATTTACCGGTTAATATAGTTATTGTTAATAATCTGTAATTACTGTTATAACAATACCTGATAGGGATATTTAGGAAAACATTAGTGTATAATTTAGTGAGAAATGTAGCTTAACAATAAAAACCAATAGTGTAGAAAGCAGCAAGCGAGAGTAAATAGAGAACTATCACAGACATGCTTGCTTTGTTATAATCACAATCACTCCGATTAGTATTAATAATAAATGATGATTACTACTAATTACCCTTATTACATATACTATCCTCAAGAAAAAAAAGAGCGATAGTTTAAAAAAATATCCCAACAAATAAAGTAATAAGGAAAAATCTTAATATGAAATACTTTGTTGTATTTTACCAAATAAATGATGATTACTACTAATTACCAGCTTTCCAGATACTATCCTTAAGAAAAAATAAGCAAAAATTAAAAAAAAATATCCTAACTACTAATGTAATAAAAAAATATTTTAACATGAAATATTTTGCTCTATTATATTCTGTTGCATTAAAATAAATAGATGCTTATTACAACTAATTACCCGTAATCCTTACACTATTTTCAAGAAAAAAGGAACAATAGTTTAAAAAAATATACCAACAACTAAAATAGAAGAAATATTTAAAAATAAAATATTTCGTTGTATTACATTTGGCGTATAAGTTATATTTTAAACTTTATTTTTAAGTCAAACTAAATTCTATTGTTAAGCATTATAACACTGAATCAAGCAAGATAACTTGGCAAATACTTTGTCCCACACTTTGAAATGAAACAATTTTCAACTACCTACTATGGAAGCGCCTGCATAACTTTGGTTAAGTTTTTCTTTGAAAAAAAGATTTTTTGCTGTACGTCAATCAATCGGCAACTGGCTGTGTGGTACTGTAACCACCCTGAGGAGAGTCATGGTGGCTCAGTGGATAGAGCACTCGCCTCCCAATTGAACCTGGGTCATCAATGAGGTGACTAGGGCTCAAAATTACAAGGCTATGAAGTTGAACATAATTGGGTCGGTTGTTCGACGGCTGTATAAAATATAACTAAAAATAGGCTTGAGAAGGGATTTTAAAATTTATTTTCAACACTTACCTTTCTGTAGTTTCGACTGGTTTTGAAATTGTTAAATACTGCTTGCAGAAAAATGAGGCTTTGTTCACCGATTTTTTAATAAGAAACTCCAATTCATTGTTCCTGTGTAAAACTACAGTAACGTAGCTCTTTTTGTTTCCTGGTACATTATTTCCGTTCTTCATTTTGAATTCTTTAATATTGTTCTTCCACCATTTGTAATTGTCCTCCGATGAAGTAGCTTCTAAGGAAGAAGCAGGCCACGCTACTCCAGTCCAAAATTCTTTATATGAATTTTTATCTGTAAATGTAGAAAATGAGGTTGGATTTCAAAAAATAAATATTTTTTTTTTAGTCATCTTCGAACATGCATTAAAAAAATTTGAGTAAAAGAAATTTGAAAAAAAATTTAAGGCATTAAAAATTTCAATTATTTTAAAAATGTCAGTCTATCTAAATTTTAAAAGATGTTAATTATCACAAATGTGTTCAAATATGTCATTCAGGATTCATTTGATATTGGTCAAAAAATAAGATTCACTTAACAGAGTTTAAATCAGCCACCATAGACAGCATATTTAATATGAGATAAAGAGATATGTGTAACATTCGAATGATCCAGAGTTTCGAATTAATAAAAAAATTATATTTAAGAAAAAACTAACAAAATTCTTTAGATTGCCTATTTTCAGGAAAAAGTCAAATTCCTTTTCCATAGCGTTATTTTGTTAGATTCTTTATTCTATGTTTTCCTGACAGTTGTGGTACTGCAAATCGGAAAGTTGTTTATCTTCTATCGTATCTGATGGAGATCTAAAAACTCCTTTGACGTTTAAAAATTCATAAACAAGAAGAGGAATTTCCTCTCAAATAGTCCATTATGTGCTCAGTGTGAAGCCTCTGGTGTTGTTAAAGTGGGTATGCTTATATACCCCCAGAAAAAAGCAGACTAAGTAGCCGCTGGCGAGGTGCGAGATGGTGGTACTGCTTTTCCTACTATAAGAAAGGGTCAAGGTTAAGCCTGGTACACTACCCTGACACCAATGGTCAGTAGGAAGTAAGTATTTGAGATTGTTTCTTTTAGAAAAGTTCAAGATTTGTTAGCTTTATAGAAGAAGCGGGTGAGAGACTTCAGCCTGTTTTTGCAAGACTGTCTGCCAAGTAATTTTCATGTCTATTCATGTGGAAAGGCAAGAAGAGGAATTTTCATTCAAACTTCTGCTTAAAGATTCAGTTTCTCTATGACAACGTAACCCAGATTTCTGCTTTCAGAAGTGGACTTCTTGCAATAGATAAGAATCTTGAGACTATTCTGAGGCAAATCCGAAAGTTCATCTTATTACCGTCAGCTAGATTAAGGGATACTTTAGAAAGCGGGATAATTTTGGCTATGCCCTAAAAAAGTTATTTCCCAAAAATAAAAAGAGTTATTTATAGGTTTTTGAGAGCTCTATAATAAATGAATGCTGTCAGTCGCAATGTTGACCTGACCCAAAGTGTTTTCATTTAGTGATAGTTTGTCAGTGTCATATAAATTAATTTGTATAGTTATAGAGACGGTTGAGCTAGCATCTCGATAGTTATTCATATCATTACTATTTGTGTAGCATGTAAAAAACATTAGAGAGAAGATAATGGCATTTTTGTAAACCAAATTTTCCTGTAATTTTTTGGCGGATAATGATACCCCAATATTTATAGGAAAAGTAGATTACTTTACCACTAAATCTCAAAAAGTGTCGAAATATCTATAATAAAGCTATACAGACTTTAGCAGGGAAGAAAATACTGAAAAAACTCTAAAGAAATGGTATAAAACAATATAGATGAAATATCCTTGAACATTCTTCTAAAAGACTTCGTGGTTGTAAAATTTCTCTTAAAAACCTTTTTTTTTCCAAAGCCCAACTAATTGACACTCGTCATTCAGATATAAGAAGTGCAGATTTGCTGGCCACTCTTTCAGGAGTACCCTGTTAGGTGGGCCAACGTTGCTCCCACTGTAAGGAAAGAGAGTACAGAGAATGAAAGAACACCCATGCCTTGTCCGGGATTCAAATTCAAAAACTTTCTGTTGCAAGGTCAGCTCCCTGACAACTACACAAGTTCAGTCGGGCACCTTGAAAATCTTTGGAGCATTACCAGACATACATTTTAAACAGTATTCTTGCGGACAGAAAGAAATCCTTCACTTATCCAGGGAAACTGGATAATATATCTTGCTTTTCTTTGACAACTTTTTTTTCAATACTGTCGAAACTCGATCAATCATTTTTCAAGGAACAATTGATTACAAATGATTGACACGGGACAACGACGAATGAGGGATAACTTAAAATGACGAATAATGACATAAAAATAATAAAGAAGTCTTAGAAGAAAATAAATAATTTAATAATTAGTCTGAAAATTTAATTGAAAAAATTATGTACTTAATGCAAAAAGTTTGACGATGCAAAAAAAGGAAGATCAGAGTATATTTATTTGCTTAAGATGTGTGTGAATTTTAGTCTGAACACAATCTTCTCTTCTTAGAGCAAAACAATAAATTTTTAACATTTGTAGCAGTTTGCTGTTCATTTCTTGTAACTTCCGTTGAATATAAAAAGTTTCTAGTTGCTTCAAAGGCCTCCTTCGAAACCTGGTTGCGACTAAACTAATGGTTTTCATTGGTATCACATTGCACTTCTACAGCTTCTGGAACCATTTTTTGAGCCGACAACACTTCAAGTTTCAACATTTTCATCTACTAAAGCAGGAATATCAAGTATGATGCATGGGGAGCTCTCCTCGTTACTGTTAGAAATCCTCATTTAACCTAAAATTATCATCATTAACCCCACAAATCCTCATCATAAACACCTATTTATAAAAAGTAATTCACTCCCTGTCCTTCCCGGGCAAGAAAAAAAGCGCAAGAAAAGAGATAAGAAAATAAGTATCAGTACCTAGAAGTCATTTTTCTTATTTTCTTGTATGCATTGGAACAAATTGAGAAAAAAAAACACTACATGTATATAAATACACATTTACAAGAGGTAACTCACTCCCAGTACCGCCCGGGCAAGAAAAAGAAATAAATATGTAAGAAATGGAAGAAAAAAAGTGTCAAACCCCAGCAGTGATTTTTCTTATTTTTTTTTGTATTTATTGAAACAAAATGATAAAAAACACTACATTTAATAAATACATATTTATGAGAGGTAACTCACTCCCTATACCACCAAGGCAATAAAAAGAAATGAATGTGTGAAAAAAGAAAGTAAGAAGTGCCCCACAATGTGGCCATGCATGTTTAAAGATTCGTAAATTTGCCTTATCGTATCCTTAACTGTGATTTTTTCTATTTTTTTTGTATGCACTGAAAAAAAATTGAAAAAAAAAAATACTTAAAAAGTATATGGTCTAAATTGAATTGAGAATGAGAATTAAAAAATAACGAAGTTGTGATTCAAAATAATAACATAATTAGATGTTCCTCTTTAGTTTAGAAAAAAGCCTTATCTCCCTCTCAAAATATTAGTACTCATGAAAGTAATTATTAATATGTTTCTTACCTGTTGGTTGAAAACATGCTGCAAGTTCTTTTATGTCCTCTCTGAACTCTTCCATTGTAGAAGGTTCGTAGAAATCCATTCCAATATTATCGCAGATGTCCTCAGCTGCATCAAAGATTTCTGGTGAGCATAGACCGATTTCTCTGAACATGGGACAATATGGAGCCCATCTTCCGTTGATGAGACACTTTTTATTTATCACTGAAAATAAATAAAGATAGCTTTTTATTGTAAAAAATATCGATTTTTTATTTCCGTAATTGAGTATTTCAACTTTATTTACGTCATTCTTAACTTTCATCTACGTAGCACAAAGTGTAACAAATCCATTTAAATTCATGTTGTTAACTCAACCAAAGTAACATCAAAAAATTATGGATTGATTTTTAAATAGCTTAAAAGATGTTTACCTAAGAACACGATTCATTAGCGATAGAAAAAAAAATTCAGCATGTGTAAAGCACCTATCTTAGTGAAGGTCGGGCATTGAGTAAACGTATCCAAATCAGGCTACTAATTTTTGAAAGAAAAATACTGCACAAAATTTTTTGTGCTCTCCAAGAAAATAACGAACTCTGTACAGTCATGAAATTTATAATCCGTGTAAGGGTGACTCAGGAGATAGAGCGTTCGTCTTCAAATGTGGTGAACCGGGTTCGAATCCCAGCTATGGCTGGTCGACACGAATTCCGCACCCGGTTCTCATCGACCACAGGGGTGACTTAAAATATCCCCAGTGGTAGATGGATAACGGATTAGAGTCCCCTTTGCGTTAGGCTAACCGCAGGAAGTTTTCGCGGTTTTCCCCTCCCTGTAACGCAAATGCAGGTTAGTTCCAGAAAAAAATCCTCCATGTAATCAAATTCTCCCAATACTCGGTCTAGGAGCTCCCTTGTCTTCTGGATTGGGTTTAAAATTACAAGGCTACAGAATTGAATATTGGTAGCCGTAAACTCAAAATTGGTTCAGCTGTTCAATGACGGTAATAAAATAAGATATAAGAAACAAGAGTCGAAATTTGTATGTGGTAAATTATCATTGAAATCCAAAATTATAGTTGAATGAGTTACCTTCAGATTCTGAGACGGTGGTAGAATCAGGTAGAGTTTCACTGATATGTTTAGCGGTAGTAGTATCTGGTAGAGTGTCAGTGAAGTCTGTGGCATGAGAAGTTTCTGGTAGAGTTTTGCCCACGAATCTAAATTTAAAGAAAAATTTATAAGTAGCAATAAATTCTGAATACTGAGAATTGCGAAATGTTATAACATTGATAAAACAGTTACAGTTTTAAGTTTTGATGGCGAATTTTGAACTTTTCCTAATTCTTATAAGGGTTTGATTGAATACAATTGTTACAAAAAATAAATTTTGGAGTTGTTTTGAGGTTGACTGGTGTAACACAATGCACCGGAGGAAGAAGATTAAGTTATATTTTGCACTAAAAATAACCTCATCCATAAATAACAATTTCAATAACATTTGTACTTCATAAAATCTATCTCATTTATAGCTCAGCAGTGCTTTTAATTGAAATCGAGGGAAAATTATTAACACCTCAAATATATTTCTTCCTTAAAGTGCAGAAAAAAATAACATGCACACCTCAGAAACAACCTCTATGAGTTGGATGCTAAAAGTTAGATTTCTTTCAACCTCAAAATATCCTAAAGTGTAAATAAAACAACGTCTTCCACCTTTATCACAAACTTCGGGAAGTTGTTGATTTTTTAAAGTTGTTTCTGAAGTCAAATGCATATAAACCTCAAATCAACCTAAACACCTCAAAACAACCTCAAACAAACTTCAAAAACTTGCTGCATTTTTGCAAGGGCGTAGTGAAGGTGGAGTCTCATTGAGGTAAAGAATCTGATTTTTCAGCTACTAATCACCCGACTTAGGCAGGCTAAGTGGTTTGTGTGTGATTTCGTTACTTAAAAATTAATAAGGGAGAATGCAATATATATTTAAGTATAGCATATTTCAATATACTATATTTAAGTATATATATATATAATATATAGTATACTATATATATATACTATATAGTATAGTATATAGTATATTCACTTCTTTGCTTAAAGTGCAGAAAAAGTAACATGTACACCTCAGAAACAACCTCTATGAGCGGATGCTAAAAGTTAGATTTCTTTCAACCTCAAAATATCCTAAAGTGTAAATAAAAAAACTTCTTCCGCCATGATTATAAACCTCGGGCAGTTGCTAATTTTTTAAGTTGCTTTTGAAGTCAACTGCATACAAACCTCAAATCAACCTTAACACCTCAAAACAACCTCAAACAAACCTCAAAAGCCCGTTATATTTTTGCAAGGGCGTAGTGAAGGTGGAGACTCATTGAGGTAAAGAATCTGATTTTTCAGCTACTTGATTTTTTAGCTACTAATCACCAGACTTAGGCAGGCTAAGTGGTTTGTGTGTGATTTCGTTACTTAAAAATTAATAAGGGAGAATGCAATATATATTTATTAAGTATAGTATATTTCAATAGTATATTAATATTCGGATAGTTACTTAGTTTGGACAGCATTCGGATAGTTACTTAGTTTGCAAAAATTTATTTACTGGATTAAAAATAATTAAGGTGTTTTTATTTTTTGATTTAATTTCGTACACATTTGTTTCTGATCTCGGATATTAGAATTATTGCCTGTTATAGTTTTTTTTAAGCTCGTTTGAAATGGATCTTAAAAATAATTCTAAGTTTACCTTAGTACATTATAACGCTAACAGTTGAATTGGAAGTAACCAGAAAAATTTTAATTTTTTATATCGACCGCATAAAGAGAAAAATGATCATTATGAACGGCCTGCGAAGGGGCCGAGTGGTGTCCGTCATTATTAAACTGCTCCACTGTGTCCGTCGACTGTACTGCTCTTCGTGCGAAAGTCATCGGGCTAACAAAGAGGTGAAACCATCCTTTCTGCACAGGATCAAAATTGTGATTTCATTTTTTCGGATCATCCTCAGGGATTTTTCCCAGACCGTCGCCAACAGCCGATTATGCAGATCTAGTACGACATAAAATACTACTAGTACTTCTTCGCCATTGGCTGAAATGAATCAATTTTCGCTTACCACTTTAGCTGGAAACGACTAAATCACGCTGCTCACCTCTATAAGATGCTCTGGTGCAATTTTAAAAATAAAGAAATCAGAAACTGGGTTGAATTGTTTCCTTATAAAAGGCATTATTTTCATTACTCACCCTTCTGTAGTTTTTGTGGAGATCTGAGAAATCGTAGAAGATTTTTCCCAATACTTCACACAAAAATACGGCAAAAAGTCGTGTGTTTTTTTAAGAAGTAACATTATATTATTGTTCTCGTTCTGTTCGACTGTAATGTAATAGTTGTTAAATGTTGAAGTATCCCAGTCTTCCCTTCCGAACTCTACCATAACTCTCTGCGTCAACCATTTGAAAGCCTTCATTGACGACGTAGTCTTTAACGAAAAAGCAGGCCACGGAATTCTAGTCCAGAAACCATTATAGAAATGTTTATCTGTAAATATAATAAAGGAGGTTAATTTCACATAGTTAATTTCACACCGGATAATTTGCTTTCCTTTCAATTAATAATCTTCCAGGCACCTGAGTCATCACCTCCTACACCAGAAAGCCTTCACACGGTTTCTTATAAGTAGTTTGCGCAGACAATTTAAAAAGTGAACTAGTTGTGCGCATGAACCCAAGTTCTAGTTTAAAAGTAAGCGAGGGAAACTTATCAAGTATATTTGAGAATTGAATCTGCAGTGGCTGACAAGTAAATAAGAAAAACCAATCATATTCATAAATTAAACAAATTTTAAACATATATTTTCCATCACTTTCTTTTTTCTATCAGATGTTTGATTAAATGGCTCTTTCGTAAACTGGTTTACCTTTATAATGGTCTGATTGGACTAACTATAAAAAACCATGAGGAGGCTTTCAGTTACAGGTGGCTTTCAGTTACAGGAGGCATTGCCTGAGTCCCGAGTACTAAATAAAGCTTTTGTAAATATGTATCTAAAAAGAAAGTAAACACTATATCAGAAATAAAATTTGCACCTTTGACGATTCAGCAATCCATGAGATGTATTTTGCTAACTTTGAGAATCATTTCGTCACGAAATTACGTTTTTTTGTGACGAAACTCTGAAGTATATAACGAAAATGTTTCCTCAACTCGAAACTTCATCAAAGTGCATTGTAGGAGATTGTTAAGTAGAGTGAAGAGCGGATGATCGAAAATAGAATGACGGTGCAAGCCGACCGGCTGTATAATGGTCAAGTAGATTACGGGTTCAGATTCCTCTTTGAACATGGGTGTAATTTATCTCCTTGTCTTATATGTCCTTCTTGTGTTGTTTAAGCGAGATCAATTCACCCCCCATACGATGCCAACGGTAAATGCTTATGAGAAAAATCTGATACATTAAGCGCTATAAGATTTTCATTTTAGGAAGAAAAGAAATAAAATAGAATGACAAAATTTTCTTTTTGATAAAATTTGTTGACTCAAAGAAGTGGCAATGGTTATTTTTCCTTTTGACGAAATTTTTATTCGGTACACATACCAGGGAACGGTTTCGTCAAAACGACGAATGTCTCGTGGACTTCGAGTATCCATTTTTACAGTGCACAAAAATCTCATAAAAAGTAATAAAAAAAATTATTTACGCTATATTATATTAAAAAAAATAAAGCTTAGGATGAAGTTAACTCTTTGTGGTAAAATATTTTCTTTAATTTAGATTAATTAAACTTTATAAGTTTGATTAATTGTTTTTAACTATGTAGATTGAAAAATGAAAAGCTTTAATTTTTGTTAACTTTGCGCACTGTTGTAAACTTTCTTCACTATTTGGTCATTGAAATATCCTTTAGACTCAAAACATATTTGTATGCCATCAAACTCTTCAAAATGCTACTTAAATAAAATTTATTGTTTTTTTTTTGCAATTTTCCATCGTATTTGAAAATATGGACTAAACGTGGTAAAAAAATTTTGTTTGTAATTTGACATACGCTTTTAAAAAGCACACAAATAGGAAAGAATCAAAAAATTACATAAAAGTTTGCCCAATATATTGGACGTTGTGCCTCAAGAGACTTGTGCGAAAGACAGATTGAAAAATGTTTGTCATTGTTGAAAGTATTTTGCATAAGGTCAACCAATGCAAATATTCTAACTTTAAATCATGAAACTGAACTTTTATGATTAATTTTAATTACTATAAATTGCTCGAAATAAAAAAAATCTATTGTATATTTTGCATAAGGTCAACCAATGCAAATAATTTAACTTTAAATTATGAAACTGAACTTTTATGATTAATTTTAATTACTATAAATTGCTTGAAATAAAAAAATCTATTTTTTTAATTTTTTTTAAATTTTTTTATTTAAACGACTTAAAACTCCTCATGCACCACAAAGTATAGCATGAGGCTTACAGTTGTAAGTAGAAATCTATTGTAGCCCAATTTATTGGATTTGTCTATTTGTGGAAAAATAAAATATTGAAAGTCCTAAAATATCTGTAACATAAGGTTTGAAATGAAAAAATATTGTAACCGAATTCTAGTATGGATTTGTAATATGAAAATATTAAAATTCCTATAAAAACGAAAATAAAAAATTTGAAATAAAAAAAAATATTGCATCCCAATTTTTTGAAATTGCCCATTTGTAGAAAAGAAAATATTGAAAGTTCTAAAAAATCTGAAATGAAAGGTTTGAAAAGAAGAATGCATTGTAAACCCAATTTTCTGGTGTGGTCTATTTCTAATAAAAAAAATCAAAATTCCTATAAAAATAAAAAACAAAGAATTTGAAATAACAAAAAATATTGAAATTCCATTTTTTGAGTTGGTTCATTTGTAGACGAAAAAATATTGAAATTACTAAAAGATCTAAAACAAAAGGTTTGATATATAAAAAAAAATATTATGAACCAATTTTTCGACCTAGTCCATTGGTAAAAAATATTGAAAATCCTAAAAAAAAATGAAACAAAGGTTTTGAAATAAAAAAATTTGGAAAAAATACAAAAAAAAATAATATTATAACTCAATTTTTTGGCTTAGTCCTTTTGTAGATAAAAAATATTGAAAGTCCTAAATAAACTAAAACAAAAGTAGTACTATCTATACTAACCTCTATGTTTCGTAATGATCACTTTTAATTTATAATATTTTTAAAAAAAGAGACAATTAAATAAAAAAAAGCTAACACATAGGGACTTGGAAAATAACTATTTTAGCCATCCCCCCCCTGATGCCACCTCATGGCTTATTGTTTACTGCTTTAAGACACCACATTGTGCAATGGAAGTTGTTTGTTTCAGGCTCGTGTTATATCATCTTTTATAGTTGTGATCATAAGTCTTGATAGGACAGACATACATATGTATGGACCCACGCAGTAGAGGTAAGTTAAATATATAGTTTATATTAGTTTTAGAGAAAACGTTTTTGAGAAAACGAAGGTTTTTGAAAAGACGCATTACAATACTTTCCAATTATACTAAATTCTAAATTTAGTTGAAAAAGTAATAAGTAAATAAGTTTTATATTTTCGTTGGCTGAAAGTTGTATTAGCAAGATGTTGCGGTTAATCAAATACTTCTCTATTACATTAATTTGGACTATAATTTTTATGTTAAAGAAGAATAGAAAAAAAGATATATCGAAAGAGCCGACCGGGCTGAGTAGTGGTCAGAAAGTTGATCTCACATCAGAAAGGTCCGGGGATAGAATCCCGGGAAAGACATGGATGTTCCTTCATTCTCCGTACTATTTATTGTTAATGTGGGAACAATGTTGGCCCACCTAATATTGTGCTCCTGAAAGAGTGGTCACCAAATCTTATATATATTATATATACTAGAGGGCTCCGCCCCCTGCTCACTACCGCTCGCCAACCAATGTATTGATCAAAAATTTTTTTTAAAAAATTTATTCGCTAACTCCATGTTATTGGATGTGGATGGTGTTGATGGTTGCGTTTTTCAGACATATTACCATGATCGCGAATGCAGTCACATGAGCAACAGTTGGTACAAAAACTACTCAATGGTTCTCTAAGTGACATCTTAAGTTAGATATTTCACTTGTGATACTCAGAGCAAAATATATGTGTCATCGAAAGCTTATGCTCAGAGCAAAACATATGTGTCATCGAGTGTAGATGGTGTTGATCTAAAACTGCGCTTTGCAAACATATTACCTCGCTCACGGACACAGTCACATGAGCAACAATTGTTATTGAACAACATTTGAATTAAAATTAAGAAAAAGAAAATAATTTTTATTTTCCTTCATACCCCGCATGTTCTTCAACCCTTCAAAAATAATAATTTTTGTATTTTATTTTATTTTACAGCCGGCGTAGAACAGCCGACTCAATTCTGGTTTTACGAGTATTAATGCTCAACTCCATACACTCTAAAAACTGTACCGCTGATTTCAGAGGCACATTTGGATCGTTTGTGCCTCTGAATTTTAAGGGCACAACGTACCTTTAAAAATGAAATGCACAATGTACCTCTGATTTCAGAGGCACATTTGGATAGTTTGTGCCTCTGAATTTTAAGGGCACAACGTACCTTTAAAAATGAAAGGCACAAAATCAGATGTACCTCTTAGCTTGAAAGGTACATTGTACCTTACATTTTGCTTTTATGAACCACTCATTGAAATAAGCATTTAGTGGTACCAAAACCTGTTATTTACCAGATTTGAACACATTTTTTTTTACCTATTTGTAATTTGCTAGCACTTTATATAAAAAGGGACTTTCTGTTTGGTTTACACTATTACCAAGATATTAATTATAATAATTCTTAATGAAAAATATTTCTCAATTCTTTGAATATTGGCCACTTGAAAGTGATCATTTCAAGGGATTCCATCTAAGGCTTTTTCATAGACAATTATAAAATATGTAAATTTATACCATTTCTTTAATTATGTAGCGTTTAATGATACTTCAACAACTACAATGATGCTTTTCTAATCAGATATAGGTACAAAAAGATAATATTTATTTCTGTTAAGCCAAGTCAATATAATTCATGGATTTTTTTTCTTTTCCAAAAAGCATCCTCAAAATGGAAATTTATTATAAATTTAGATATTTTTTAAATATTTAGAGATTTCATAAAATAGTTTTATAAGGATCAAAAATTAAACACTAAATATCATGAAATCTAATATCTTTTATTTTCACACATAAAGAACAATTTTACATAATTTAGTAACAGTTGCAATATGATGTATACAGTTGCACAAATTTGGAAAAACATAGAATATTTTAAAATGATAGATGTAGATTTTGACAACTTGGATATTTTATAACATGAAATATGCTTAAACAAATGACTTAACAAGTGTAAAATAAAAGATTTCTTTCCATTGAAATGATTTTTTTTAAAATCCAGATTTTGGCGAAACATATTAATCCGTTAGGCGCCATCATTCCCATTTTGGGAACATTAGCTTTCAATTTTTTTAGAAGTAACGTAATTAATATTATTTAATCGATGATTTTATTTGAGCTCAGAATATATGAAAAGCCTTCTGCAATTTTTTTGGAAAGCTTGTTTCAGAATTTTTTTTTTTTTATTGTATTTTAAAAAACGTGAAATTCTGCATTTTTGCCCCAATCATTAAACATGCATTTGTTTTATAAATATTATTAAAATAAAAATTACTTTCGTGCTTAAACTTGATTACAACAATCGGATATAATTCTCTTTTCTATAATCCGAATTTCGATGTCTACAGTATTTCTTAAAATGTCCTATTTCACCACAATAGAAACATTCACGTTCAGATCTAAATTTCTTCACAATACTTGGCGAATTCCATTTCTCATTAAAATGTTCTTTCTGGCGATCGTTATTACACGGAATAGCTTGTGGATCATACTGAAAATTGGCAATGAGATTTTCTTTAAAGTAATAATAATTATCATCATAAATTTCTGACCTTTCAGCAGGAATAAGCTGTAAAGCACACGAAAACCAAAGATCGAAATTCACACTAAATCTCTTCGCTTTCTGTTCAAAGAGTTCGAAGTACCGTCGAATTCCACACTTCTTGGCATCAATTTTAAACATCTCATTCACTAATTTTTTCTAAAGTAGGAAATCCTTAATAACAATAATATTTGTCACCAATTCTTTCAAAAACTTAATAAAACATTTCTGGAACGGATCCCACCGCTGCCACCAATTAATACATAGCTGTAGCGTATCAAGCTATATTAAAGAACTGTTCAGTTTTTTTATAAAAACATTTATTTCACACCACAACAAATACAATAACAAATATAAAGTACCCGTAACGGGATAGTTAAATCTTATAAAGGAAACTAGAAAAAGTGCCCGTAGCGGGATATATGAAAACTCACCCGTAACGGGATAGATAAAATATCATAAAACAAACTAGATAAACCCGTAACGGGTAATATGAAAACTCAAATTCCACACAAAACTAATTCTAAAAAATCAACAACTTTCTGGTGTTCTAATTTTATCGTCTGCTTTTATTATTTGTATTTCGTCATAAAATATTTCATTGATGTGCGCATGCGCTTCTTCTCCGTTACATCGTACCGAAGAAAAAAAAGGGAAGCCCATTTGAGAGGCACAGGGAACCGGTAAAATCCTTTCGTACCGCGCATTGACTCGCGTTTGCTTTGGTGCCTTTCATTTCTTGTGGTGCCTCTCATTTTTAAAGGCACATTAGTTATGTGCCTCTAACGCGAGAAAATAAAGGGTACATTTAGCTTGTGCCTTTTATTTAAGAGGTACAGTTTTTAGAGTGTAGCCTTGTAATTTTGAACCCAACCCAGAAAATAAGGAAACTCCTGGATTGGGACCAATTTACCTTCGATGAGGACTTTTTGATATGACTAACTCGCATTTGCGCAATATGGAGAGGAAAACCACAAAAACTTTTCATGGTCATCCTGACGGCAAGGGGCTTCTAGCACATGACCCGTCTACCACTGAGAATATTATACGTTAGCAATGTTCGGGTGCGTATCAACCAAGCCACCGCAGGGATTCGAACTTGGATTATTTCATTGGAAGACGAACGCACTCTATCCCCTAAACCACCACTGCTCAATTCTTTGTATTTTAAAAACTTTCCAACTCGGTTGATTTTTATGAAAAAGGTGGATCGGTGTTGCTTACTTTTGGATAGGAAACACGCCTCAATTCCCTTTAAGTCACTTCTGAATTGTTCCGCTGAAATAGGGTTGTAGAACTGCAGGCCATGTGACACACACATCTCTTCAGCATCAGTAAAATTGAGTCGGGGGCATAAATCAATTTTATAGTTACCCACCGGACAATACGGAATCCATCTTCCGTTGATGAGACACTCATTGTCTGAAAAAGGAGGAGGAATCAAGGTGAGGATATTAATTTCCAACTCTGATCTAATACTAAAATTTTTTATCTAATTAATATTAATATAATATCAATTATTATACTAGGTATGATATTAATATCATATTATTAATCCAATTGCTTGAAAATATTATGTGAATTACATAGTTATCTAAGGTTCCCCTTCTGAAAAAAAAAAGGATTTAACTTCATTTCGTTAATCTAAGGAGAATTAACGGTTGTCCAAAATTTCTTTATCTATTCAATAACTAATTTATATTTGTGAATAAATTTTATTTCATTTTATTCAATTTTAATAGGGTCGTTGAACCTGATTCCCGAATTTTAAATTTTTGTCTGGTTTTTAAGTTTCTTAAAACTTTTTCAAAGTGTTTTCAACACTTTTGCAGATGCTACTTGATAATCTAAAACTAAGTAGAAAAAATTCAATCATTTCACTGAATAAAATGAAATAAAAATTATTTAAGAATATTAATTGGTTACTGGATAAAAAAGGAAACATCCTGTGTGGTTCTCTATTGACTTCCATAACTTTTTATGCCCTGACTGTTACAGACCATCATCCTTTTGCCCCGCATGAACGATTTATTGAATGAAGCATAGCTCCTTACATGGTTCCTTATATGACAGTCACTGACTTAAGATATGGTCACCATTTGGTGAAAGTTGCTAAGAAAGATGAACATAAAACTGCATTTATTTTCCCATTTGTAATCTTTAAATTTAAATGAATGACCTTCGGATTGAAGAAGGCTCCTGCCATCTCTTCCAGACTGTTAGATAAATTTCGTTCCAGATTGAATAATGTGTTTGCATTGTCATCGTGTCATGAAATCACCTTTCTGCCTTGGAACAGGTTTTAAAACGCCTTAATTTATTTAAACTTAATGCTAACTGAGAAAAGGTTACATTATGAACAGAGACTGGAAGAGGTTGCATTATGAACAGAAGAGTGTTACATCGATATTTCATTTTTTATATTTTAACCGCTGTAGAACAGCCGACCCGATTTCGGGTTTACCGCTACTTATGTTCAGCTCCGCAACCTTGTAATTTTGAACTCAAAGCAGAAGACAAGGGAACTTCGGGATCAAGTATTACTAGAAATTTGCTTTCATGGAGGACTTATTGAAGGAAATAACCAGCATTTTCGTTACATGGCGAGCAAAACCACTAAAACCTCCCATTGGTTAATCTGACGGCAAGGGGACTCTGACCCATAATCCGTCTACCACTGAGGATGTTTCATGTCAGGACTGTGGTCGATGCAAGCCAAATGCGAAATTCATATCGGCCAGCCATCACTGGGATTCGAACCCGGTTTATCTCATAGAAGCACAATTAGTTATACTCTAACAGAGAAAAGCAGAAACCCTGAAAGAATTCACCCTTGGCGGATCACTGTGGATCAGACGGAACATTTTATGGAATAGCAAAGAGAAAACAAACTACTGGATTGGAATGAGAAAAAATATCTCGGATTATGTCAAAAGCTGCCCTAAATGTGGTCGCACTAAACCTCAAATCAAAATCCATGAAGATCACTCCTGTCTGTGAGCAACGTTTTGAGACTATTGCGATAGATCTTTTCACTCCATTCCCAGAAACCTCTTCTGAAAATTGATTTTTCTTATTGAAAATGCTGGCACAAAATGGGTAGAAAGCTATGCCCAAGCTGATGTCACTACGGAAAAATGTGCGAAAATCTTCATTGAAGAAGTTTTCTTGCGTTATGGATTGCGCTGATAAGGCTGCTAAGTTTTAACGGACAACTGTTTGTCAGTGCTGAAAAGTAGCAGACGCATTATTTCCTTGGTGTTAAACAAGTACTTTGCTGTTTTAAATAAATACTCATTACTGTATTAAACAAGTTATTCATTAATCTCAATCTAATGCTTCGAAGTCCCGCAGTGGACTGATCGTTAAGACACGGTTCCCAGCAGATCACCGAAGTCAAGCATCACTGGCTACGGTCAGTGTGCGGGTGGGTGACCACTTGGATCAGTCTGCGTAGGGACCGAGGGTGTGCGGTATTGGTCCTCGCTAAACTGTGCTACCGTAAAGTGCTCGACTTCACGCGCAGGTCGTCGGGCTACCGAAGCGGGGGTGCCATCCCCTCCGCATAGGATCAAAATTGTGATGGCATGTCTTCGGATCATCCTCCGGGATGTTTCCCAGACTGTCGCCAATAGCCCATTGTGCAGCTCTAGTGCGACGTAAATTAACAACAACAACAATAATGCTTCGAAACGGAAGAATAGGGACTTAATAATCCAGACTAGACATACTAGCTGAAGGTGCTTGGGAAGAAAAATTGTCAATAATTCAGTTTGAGATAAATACATCAAGATATGACACAACAGGTTACTCGGATTCACTTTGGAAAAGAATTTCGAGCTATTGATGACGTCAATCACTATTTAAAGCCCTTATTAATAACAATAACTTTGTTCCTGAAATTACACTGTATCTGAAAAAATTTGCTAGCTTGACACCTGAAATATTGGAGCGTGTTGATTTGAAATAAGACCATAGAACTGAATACTTCGATTAGAAATGTAGACGAGTTTTTTTTATAAACCTGGAAACAGCGTATGCATAGTGTTGCATCCAGTAAGCAAATCAATAAATAACAAAAACAAGAAGCTCGTGCCAAAGTGAAACGGTCTCCATACGCGAAAGTGACTATGAGATCTTCTGCAATCTTTGATATTGCCGATCCAAAAGAACCTGATAAAATTCAAGGGAAGTACCATATTTTCTGCCTTGATGTCGTATCAAGGGCGAAATAAATTTCCAACTCATGTGTTCTCTGCAAACCGGTATCTACTAAACCTCCAGTTACTATTCTTAAAAATAGAGCCCTATCATATCATATCATTTTAAAATTAGAGCCATATCATATCTTAAAAATTGAGCCCTATCCTATCATATCATATCATTCTCCATTTCCAGCACAAGATTGTGTCAATTTCTGACTTCCTGCAAAGAAGTCGATGAAGTCAGAGAGGGGTATATAACGCCGTATTTATTTACAATTGAAGTTGTCATGGCAACCCTTCTGCACTAAATTATTTTCTAAGCGCTATCTAGCGACACTAGAGTCAGAATACACTATAGTCAGCGACACTTTACGAATAGTAAATGTTACATTAAATTTTAAAATTAATATTTGTACTTCCATATTTCTTTTTCTTATATGAACTTGATTTCATAAATTTCAATAAATTAAATTAAGAGCTAGTCAGAATCTTAATTTTTAGACCAAACAGTTACAGCTTTGTATTTTTACTAGATGTGTGGTAATATGAACTATAATTTTTAAAATCTGAATTTCTAGAAAATAATCACCACATGAACGGAAAAGTTACTGAATAATTGGTTTCAATACCGTATATGTTGACTTTATTACTAGAATTATACTTTTTTCGGCAGAAATATCATTACTATGTAAGTATGATAATTTTTTGGAAGGTTTACTCCATATAATATACTATAGTAATTTACTCCGTGGAGGTCTGACGAAATGAAAATATTGCTTGTACGAATTTATTTTTAAAAAGGCATTAATATTCGCACAAAGCTGGATTACATTTCATACAGAGATAATTTAAAAGAACTGTGAAAGCTGTTCCAGGGATTAGTTAGCGCAATCAGAAAGGTTTCTTAATTTTATGCATTTTTTAAATATTCAACAAATGTACCACTTATTTCAATCTAAGATGAATATAGTATTCAGTACATTACCTTTAAAGTCGTCGACAGGAGTAGTATCCGGTAAAGTTTCTTTAGAGTCTGTGGCAGCAGTAGTATCTGGTTGAGTATTTTTCATGTATCTGGAGTAATAAAAAAAAGTGATTTGTTATTGTATTCAATTATAATCAAAAATTCACGATAAAGAGATTATTTCGTTATGAAGGCAAATTTATTAGTTTAGTGAATTTGATGACCCTTCATTGGCCAAAAATTACGTACATTAAATATTCAGAATTCAAGAAGAACTATTACACCGTTATCAATACTAGTTATAAATGATTCCAGAAACCTTGTCAGGGGAATCTGAATATAATATTTTAAAATCCCTGTCGAAGTATTCGAAATATATATTCACAGAAACCTTGTCGAAAGATTCGGAATATATATTTTTTTGAAACCTTGACGAAGGGGTAAGAATATATTATTTTAAGACCCATGTCGAATTATATACTTACAGAAACCTAGTCGAAGGATTCGGAATTTATTATTTCTCAAACCTCTTCGGAAAAGTCGGAATATATTATTTTAAGACCCATGTCGGAATATACATTTCCAGAAACCTTGTCGAAGGATTCTGAATATATTTTTTCTTAAACAATGTCGAATTATTCGGAATATATTATTTTAAGAACCATGTTAAAGTATTTGAAATATATATTACGAGAAATCTTGAAGAAGGGTTCAGAATATATTATTTCTGAAACCTTGTCGAAGGATTTGGAATATATTATTTTAAGACACATGACGAAGTATTTGAAATATATATTTACAGAAATCTTGTTGGATTCGAAATATATTATTTTAAGACCAATGTCGAAATATTTGGAATATAAATTTACAGAAATCTTGTCGAAGGATTCGGAATATATTATTTATGAAACCTTGTCGAAGGATTCGAAATATATTATTTTAAGACCCATGTCGAAGTATTCGGATTATATATATTTCTAGGAGCCTTGTCAAAGGATTCGGAATGTATTACTTCTGACACCTTGTCGAAGGAGACGGAATATATTATTTTAACATCCATGTCGAAGTATTCGGAATGTACACTTCGAGAAGTTTTGTCGAAGGATTCGGAATATATTATTTGAAAATCTATTCTGAGTACTATCCATTTTAGATGGAGGAATGAATTTGGAATTATTATCTAATTTCCGATTCCTTTACTTAATATACAAAAAAAAAACGACATGCGAGTGGCTGTGAATTGATATTTAAATGAAAGAAGATTAAGTCTTCTTGAGATATAGCAAAACCACCACTGAGAGAGATCGGATTGAAAACTTCAAATCTTATTAAATTGACGGGGGAAACAGAGAAGCATTGAAAGGCAATTTCTAGATACAACTTCAAGTTTCATCCGGTAAACAAATTCGTTTTGATGTTCTCTCTGCCTTTAATCTTAAGGAAATTAGGCTGTATTAATTTCCTTTACGTGTATCATGGAAAACATTTATTTCAGGGGAGTTGGATCCAAAAAATGTTCGATGTAGTTCATGCCGTCTTTATAAAATGTCTCAACTGCCAAAAGAAATTAAAACCAGTATATATTAATTTCAATACTGGCAAGTATTGATATAAATTTAACGAAAATTCTCCCAAACAAAAATATACATAACATTTCTTCAAAAAGGAATCTTTTCTTCAAAAAGGAATCTGTATTTTTACTTTTCGAGTCTTAATACTAAATATTATTTGGAGCTTATCAGATTTTTTGCAATTTTCACTTAGTTTTTTTATAACGTTACTTTGATGCTTTTATTGAATTTCATATATAATCTAAATTTTTAAACTATATAATTAGAGCTTCATACTAGGTTTTTAAATTTTTTTTTTTAAAAAAAGGCTTTTATTTTTGTTACTTACCCTTCTGTAGTTTTAGTAGTAACATCTAATTTTGATACCCAAGTAGAACTTGCAGCAAATTTCTTACAGAAAAATGGCAATTTTCGAAATGTTTCTCCAACATTCAACACCAACTTATCCTTTTCGAACAAAACTGTGATATAGCCATCTATGATAAATGAAGAATAGTCTGGGTGATCGTTTATTTCAGCAACCTTCTTAAACCATTCGTAAGTATTTTTAGATGATGCAATCTCTGACCAAATTGCAGGCCACGCCATTCCAGTCCAGAAACCATTATAAGAATATTTCTCTGTAAATATAGATAGTTAAGACTAGATAGTTGTAGGTAGTTAAGACTTGATAATCAGTTTTTCGAATTATCTTCTAAATCATAACACAATTTCCGAAAATATCAAAAACTTTTTTTTCGCACGAGGGTTAAAGTAGTAAATTTAATGATTAACTTCATGATACTCAGAATTAGGTATTAGGAATTCTGTTGTTATTGTTGTCGTAGGCCATTAAACAAAGATTGCGGTTGTCCTGATTTTCCAGTGGCGCCATCTGTGGCCAAGAATTCGACTTCTGCCACACCCATAAGACACACCCGTTTATAGGGCGGACCCATTCGTACAGTCATTCATTCATCCACAAAACATCCATTTTGACCAACATCAATTTTGACCAGAACCAGAGAACGATCACTATCCTATCCAGTACCCTCAGAGGTATTAATTTGTAATGGGAACATTGAGGACTTTGTGATCTCACAGATTTAACGTACACCACCATTCACTCTCACGAATGTGAGTCCAGTACTCTGCAAACCAGGCTATCCCGGCCTCAAAAATTCTATTGGGAATTCGATAAAGTTTGAATGTTTTTTTTTTCTTCCTTAAAACTATTCTTCCTTCGAAGAATCCCTCCAGATTGAGCCATTATTAACTTTTAACTCAAGGCTTCAAGAACATTTACTTCAATAATCTGTCAATCAGCAATCAGTCGTAAATTTATAGTCTAATCTAAAGTTACACCCTTAAAAATTATTTTTAAAATTGACCACCCAGAATAACTTTTGATCTAATGTCCGTATCTTAACATTTTAAGACTCGATCTTAATGGTAATAATTGATAAATGCAGACGATATTTAAAGTTACGAAATCAGACTTTGGTGACAAGAGTGATAATTTTATTTTTTGCTATCTCAATACATCTCGAGAACTCTTTAAGCTAATTGAAAAATTTTAGTGCACAATTATAAAATATGTTTATTCAAATGTAATTCAATGCATAAAATGATTTTTAGTAAATATTTAATATTTTTTTATTATTTTACTTATTAATGTTTAAAAATATTAAGGTTCATTAGGTATAAATTTTTTAGATAATTTGTAAAATGTAATTTTACATAACAAAATATAAAAATTTGAGTTCAAAAAGTTGAACAGTTCCAAAGGAATTCAACATTAAAGTGTCCAAACTTTCGATCCCCCTCTTGACCGAACTATTGGACCATACATCCCAGGTTGCAGCTACTCCTGATATTTTGTGAATCAGATCATAATACACGAAGGTCGTTGAAAAAAGGGTATGTTTATTCAGAGAAAGCATGTTTTTCAGTCTGATTTTGCAACCTAACCATAGATAAAATAAAGTTTTAGAACCCGAAGATCCGATCAATAGATCAAAAGTTATTCAGAATGGTCCATTTTTTTATTTCTGGTTTCGGTTCATTGTACAGTATGCAAAGGAAAAAAGTAATAAAATAAACGGAACACCCCAAATAACTTTCGATCTAAGGATCGAACCTTCACGTTCTAGGACTCTTATTGGTTCGAAGGAGTGAAATCAAAAATGCTAATTAATTAGTGCAGACGATATTTTAAGTTCTGAAATCAGACACAAGACAGAACAAACGTACGTCAAATAAACGTATCTTTTTCACAACGGATTCAGATTTTTTTACCCTCTAAATATAGAGGGTAATCACAATCGGGGAAATATGATTCCTATATTTTGGTAATAAGAGCAGTCCGAAGTCCTTAATGTTAATTTTCACATATTTTGCCATCTCTCAAGAACTTTTAAAGCAAGCCGAAAAATTTTGCGAACATATATAAAATTCCCTTATCTAAAGATATTTCCCTGCAGAATATAACTTTAAGTAAATATTTATTATTTGATTAAAAGATAGTCGAAAAACTTTTGAATTGTAAAGGATAACATATTTGCATATCATTTTAAAGAATGTAATTTTAAACGTCAAAGTAAGAAAAAATGCGCGAAATTTGTCGAATTGTTCTTTAGAAATCGAATTTAAAAAATACGATTTTTTCAAAATTCACTCATAAATTAGCATATTCTTTCGCATATATTAGCATTTTTGGCTACTCCCTATATTTTGTAGGTCAGAAATCCGATTCCATCGAAAAATGGTATGTTTATTTTATAGAAAATATATTTTTGTGCATGATTTCGTAACTTAAAATATCGTCTGCTTTTGTTAATTAGCATATTTCAGGTTGACCATTTAAGCCATTAAGATTAAGACCTAGAACGTGAAGATCCCATCATTACATCAAAAGTCAATCAGGGTGAGCCGTTTTTTTAATTCATTTATTTATTTGGCTCATTGTACATATCAGCTCTAAACATTTATTTTCGAAAATCGAAGTACAAAAAGCATTTTTATTTCAGATTGACTAGATTTAAAATAAAAACCAAATGCATTATTATATTTATTTTTCGAAGTTGTATCTACAATAGTTTAAATTTAGAAAACTCAAACTTTTCGAAGTTGCGGAGTTAAGAGATTTTAAATTGTCACATGGCCCTCTAGTAATGTTATATCTGCTTACGGTGTAATATTTTATATGTATAGTGAGCTTAAAAAAATACCGCCCAGAATAACTTCTGATCTAATGATTGGATTTTCACTTACTGCGACAGAACCTTAATAGATTGAGAGGGTGACCTCAATTATGATAAATGATTTGTGCAGATAATATTCTGTGTTACGATGCCAGACAAAAAAACCTACTTACTCAGACCCTTTTTTAGTGGACAGATTCGGATTTCTGACTCCCAAAATATTGGGGTAGCCACAATATGGGAATTGCAGCTCCTATAGTTTGGTTAGGTGAGTGATCAAAATTTTGGATCCCTCGATTATCCCTCCCTTAATATTTTGCAACATTTCTAGAAACTTATGAACAGAATAAAAAATACTTGAACAGAATTAAAAAATTTGTTTCTCCCAAAATAACTCCGTGCAAAAATTATTTTTAATAATTATTTATTATTTTATTTAATAAAATTCAAACAAAAGTTTTGAATTGTAAGATACACAAATCTTTATAATCTCATTTTAAGGAATGCAAATTAATGATACAAAATACAAAATTTGTACAAAATATAGGTCGAATAGTTTCTAGGAAAAACTATTCAACCTTCAAAGAACTCTTACTTTTCGATAGAATACACGATTCAAGTTCTTTCAAGTCCATTCTGAACTCTTCTATTAAGTAAGGTGAGTAGATTTCCATTCCAATGGACTCACAGGTGCTCACAGCGGCAGTATAATTGAGTTCCGGGCATAAACCGATATCATCGTTCTCAGGGCAATACGGAGTCCATTTTCCCCCGATGAGGCACTTGTTATTTATCTCTGAAAAAAATGAAGGTTGTTAAGGTTTTGGCTGTCAACATCGCTCTATAGCTATAATAATGGGCTATTTTCGCGACTGTCTGGGACTCAACCATACCGATGATTCGAGGCTTGTGCACATTACAAGCCTAAAAGTTTAATCAAAGGACCTGGAGCCGCGATGGCTCAGGGGATAGAGCATTCGCCTTCCAATGAGGTGATCCGGGTTCGAATTCCAGCGATGGCTGGTCGATACGAATCCGTATCCGGCTTGCACCAACCAAAATGATGACGTAAAGTATCTTCAGTGGTAGATGGATCATGGGTTAGAGTTCCTTTGCCGTTAGGCTAACCATCGGGTGTTCTCGTGGTTTTCTTTTCCATGTAACGCAAATGAGGGTTAGTTCCATCAAAAAGTCCTCCACGAAGGCAAATTTTTCCCAATACTTGATCCAGGAGTTCCCTTTTTTCTGGATGGGTGCAAAATTACAAGGCTACGGAATTGAACATTAGTAGTCGTAAACCCAANTTCAGTGGTAGATGGATCATGTGTTAGAGTGCCGTCAGACTAACCATGGGATGCTCTCGTGGTTTTCTTTTCCATGTAATGCAAATGAGGGTTAGTTCCATCAAAAAGTCATCAAATTTTTCCCAATACTTGATCCAGGAGTTCCCTTTTTTCTGGATGGGTGCAAAATTACAAGGCTACGGAATTGAACATTAGTAGTCGTAAACCCAAAAGTTGGGTCGATTGTTCAAAAAATTGCTTAGCGACGATAATAAAATAAAATAAAATAAAAAATAAAATAAAAAATAAAATAAAAAATAAAATGAAATGAAATAAAATAAAATAAAATGAAATAAAATAAAATAAAATGAAATAAAATAAAATAAAATAAAATAAAATAAAGTAAAAGGATATGGAATGGTAGTAATCATATGATCTCCGCGCCACTTATGATGTGAATCCACGTTTTTTCCCTATCCCATCATGCGTGACCTTTTTCAGTATTTGTAAATGCTGGGAACATTGTATCAAGGTGGATTTTGAATCACTAAGACTCGATTGGTGAAGATTTGATTCGATTAGATTCCAGCTATTGGCATAAAGAATCCAAGACCGACTCATTTCCTAGTGATATGAAGATTAAACCAGCTACATTAACTGAAGGAAAACTGCTATTGAGGTGGAGGGGGTGAAAAAGTGAAGACATTTTTATGAAGATATGTGTTATATTATTTCCAAAGTATTTGCTTACGATGAATTGAATGAAACCAAAACCAAGGTGATAGGACTAATAGTTAAGAAGTTTTGAGAATTTTACACATGAAGAACATTGTTTTTGACTGAGACAAATCTATGTATCCAATCCTTATGGCTTCGGAACAATTTAGTTTGTTAACTCTAGTACAATAAAAATACATTGGCAAAAAATACCTCATCTGTCTAGATAGCAATTTATGACTTGAAAATTTATAAAGTAAAAAGAAAATTGTACTTTCTTTACGTTAAACCTTTACAACTTCTGGACTGACTGCTATACGTTTTTATCCATCAGTATGTTTTTGGTTTCATTCGAATCAGCGTAAAATGTATTTAAATATACACAAATTATAAATTATATATGATATCAAGTATGTTAATAATAATTTTTTTCTTCATAAAAGCTCTATTTTTATTTGAAATAATAATACTGATGATTAGTTAATACATAAGACTTAATACGAAAAAACAACGCTTCATGCATCTTCATATATTATTCAACGTTCAGATAGCAATATCCTATTCGGAAATAGGTGCTGGTACAAAATTGTACATTTTACATAGAAAATCCTTTTAACTGTCTATCGTCTAGGAATTGATAAGTCGTAACCTTGAAACAGCATAAGATATCAGAAACAAGACCTCATACGTCTAAACAGCAAAGTGTAAATTTATCCCATCATTTACAATTTAATAGCGTTTTTTACTACTTGTTATGTGAAGGGCACTTAACAGTTTGTAGCAGGATGTTATTTATTTTTCAAATTTAAACACTTCTTTTACTATACGTAAAAATAAACATGCTTAGAGTTAGAGAATAACACAATACTGCAAGCTTTAATATCTAAATAAAAAATAACAGATTACTTTTATATTTGAGACATCGTCTATCGTCTTGGTACACCTGGAGAACACACCTGAGTAATTTTATCTTGTTTTAAATTTTTGGCTTTTAGATTTCCTGGTTTTAATATTTACCTTTTAGTATTTTACCTTGGTTTTTACCGTGCTCTGGTGACTTTGTTGTCCTCCTTTTTGACTAAAATCCTCATCATACATTGGACGATTCAAACTGAATTTTTGAATCTTCAGCACCTCCAGTCTTACCTGGTGACATTTAATCTTCTTAAGAGAAACTTGGTATACCTAAGAGCATTTTTAATCCTATTGACACTTTGTCTTGAAAAGGGGACACTTGAATTTTTAATCGACTATTTTAATTATTTTATTAATCTTATTTTAGATCTTATATGTTTTTAATGTGATTTTTCTTATCATTACCATTTGATGTTACCTGATTTTACACTTTATACGTTTTTTAACTGTATTTTTGATTAAATTCACTTTTTTAGATGTTCTAGGCGCTTTTTATTTGTTTTTAAGAATTCTGGTTCTCTTCAAGATCCCTTTAATCTTTTATTTTAAATCGGACACTCGGACTGGTTGCTGTTCCGGGGCCTTTCTCCTCAATGGAGAACTTTTGGTCATTGGTGACCTCTTTTGTGATACCCATACACTTTGACGTCGTACTCCATGTATTGGCTTTAACTATAAATCCCCTTTTGGAATTATTATGATTGATTTTAAATTTTATAAATCTCACTGGTGATGGTGAACTATCTCTTCTTGAACGGGCACATTTTGCGTTCATTTATCCCCTTCGTGTTTTTTACTTTACATCATGGTTTAAAATACTAGATTTATGGTTTTAAATTTACGCGTCATCGATATTGTGATATTCTCGAATGTGTATCAATCTTTATTAGTTTTAATTTCACTTCACTGTAATTTTGTAGTGCTAGGTTCGCACGTGGCAACGGGTCGAACCCTTATCGAGAACTCCCCCGGGGATAGGTCGGTCACTATTAATCTTATATCTGAGTTTTATAAAATTAAAATAGAGTTATTTTAAAATTTAAAATAACAAATAACAATAAATGAAGTCGATGGTAAATGTAGCGTTTACTAAATTACCATTAATGTCCTTTGCAGTAGTTGTATCAGATGAAATTTCACTCGTGAGTGTGACTGGAGTAGTATTAGATAAAGTTCCAGTGAAGTCAGTAACAGTTGTATCAGTTAGAGTACTGTCCTTGAATCTGAAACAAAGAGTTAAGTGTTATTGAAGTCCGTTATACAGAATGATTTAATTTTGTTCGAAAGTAAATAGTTAGAGTGTTCTCTACGAAAAAGATAAAGTGCTCGACTTCGCGCGCAGGTCGTTGGGCTACCGAAGCGGGGGTGCCATCCCCTCCGCAGATGATCAAAATTGTAATGGCATGTCTTCAGATCATCCTCCGGGATGCCTCCGAGACCGTCGCCAATAGCCCATTGTGCAGCTCTAGTGCGACGTAAATTAACAACAACAACAACTCTACAAAAAAGAGCAATTTAACGACGCCGCAAAAAAAACGTTGATGATGATATGTGTCATATTTTTCCTAACTGCAATTGTATATTTTATAAAAGTGATTTTAAAGTTTCTCTTTCGATGTATATTATTGTCATCTGAAAATATTATAAAACCGATATCATGCAGCGCTAGCCCTTTAATTCCACGAGTAGATTGCTGCCATTTGCTTGCAAGTTTAGAAATATAGGAAATGCATCGCATTTTTAACACTGATATTTTTTTATTGTAAAGTGCCGTAGCGCAGCACACACTTTCCCGGCACTTACTATACGGGTTGCTTTTATGTGCAAGGATCATTGCCCAGTATTTGCGATTCCTAATATTAGGTGCACTAAACCGTGAGAAATTCGCAACCACCTCCGAAACAAAAACTATCCCTACTGTTGAAGAAAAATGAATAACTGTAATCATATAAAATAAAAATCGATACAAACTATGGGAAAACTTGAAGCGTTAATGTATTTTTTCATTTTCGACTTCCAAATTCTGAAATCGAAAATAAATTCTGTCTACTGTATATGTTTTGAGAAAATTTTGGCTTGTATAATTTTCCCTTTTTCAACTCTCAAAGGATATGGAACAGTCCACTCCCTTTGAGAGGAATTGAAGGACTGGTGTAGAACTTTTTCTGTTTTGTAATCATGCATCATATCTGGTTGCATTGTGTTACAGCTTCTAACGTTTATCGTTTTAAATTTGATAAAAAAAATTATTTTTTTGAATATACCTAAAAATATTTTTAAAAATATTATTATTATTTTCTTTGTTTCGGTTTTATGTTTGTTTCTTTAGATCAAAAATTCGAGAAGCTTTCGATTAGCAAGAAAAGGTGGGCGAATTTTGCTTTTGCCATATCGAAAACTATTATTATTTGTAGCTAATTGGCAAGTGGTCAAAATATGGATAGTAATCCATGGGTGGAACCGTGGGGCTCAGGGATGGACCTAATGAGGTGTACCGGGTTTGAATCCCAGAGATAGCTAGCTGATACGAATTCCGCATCCGGCGCGCACGAACCATAGTGCTTATTTGAAATATCCTCAGTGTTAGACGAATCATGAATAGGGTCCCTTTGTCGTGAGACAAATCGTAGGATGTTTTCGTCACGAAAAAGAAGAAAACCACGAAAATTTCATGGTTCTCCATGTACCGCGTATGCAGGTTAGTTCCATCAAAAAAATCCTCCCAAATCCTCAAAATTTCACCCAATATTTGATCCAAGAGTTCTCTTGTCTTCTGGATCGGGATTAAAAGTACAAGGCTGCAGAGTTAAATATTGGTCTTCTTAAACTCAAAATTTGGTTAACTGTTCAATGATGGTTGTAAAATATAATAATCTTTGGATAAATCCTGGTGGCTCAGGTGAAGGAGCATTCCCCACCAATGAGGTTACCCAGGTGCAAATCCCAGTGGCTGCTGGTTTATACAAATTCTGCTTACGGCTATCACCGACCAACAGTGCTGATGCAAAATATCTTCAGTTTTAGACTGATCATGGGTAAGAATCTCCTTGCTGGCGGGCTAACCATGGGAGGTTTTTGTGGTTTCCCTCTCCAAGTAGCGCAAACGAGGTTTAGTTCCATGAAAAAGTACACAACGAAGGTTAGTTTGTCTCACTGCTTGATCTGAAATTGCCATGTCTTCTGAATTACAAAGCTACAGAGTGGAGAATTGATAGTCGAAAACTCAGAATTGGTTCGGCTGTTCAACAACAATTACAAAATTTCAAAAAAATACAACCCATTGGCGATAAAATGTGTTGATAGGATTTGAAAAGCGATTGTACTTTGTATTTTTTATCAAACACTTGGCTGCAGTGGAAATTTAAAAACTCTAATTAGTTAGTAAGGTAGTGAAATTCAATTGCAAGTTTTCATCATCACTGACACAACAAAGATTTAACTCGTTACATGTTTTAATACTGTTTGCTTTTTCATCTCACTTTGTTAACAGGCAGATATTCTTTGCTTTTTGCTAGCATGCTGGAAAAGTGTAGAAAACAAAGTGATGATCCAAAAACAAGAGGAAATCGAAGGACTAAACCGGAACGGAATACTACGTCTAAAGTAGGATGTATAAAATGCCGTATCGCTTAATATTACGTCAAAAATGGGTGAAGAGTTAATAAACATTTATTCTTACCTTATTTTTAAATATCGTATTTATATAATTTTTAAAAAAATTTTATTTAATAGTATGACTTATACATCTCACTCATTACTTATCAAAAGAAAACAGCACATTTTACTGTAAAATCGATTCTTAACTTCGTTTCCTTAAAGAAATCGTTTTATTGCAGTGGTGCTTATCTTTTTAGTTGTCCGGGCAGCCAATTTTGTCGAAATAGAACTCTGAGAGCCACTGTTACATATAATGCTAAATATTGCTATGATCTATTAATTAATATCTATTGCTATGAACCAAAGCCTCCATCTTTTACTAGGGCAAAACTGAATTATTCACCCAAAAAACTGGTATTAGTCTCAAAGTATTATCTTGGTTTGAACTCTAAACCACCGTCCAAGGCTTAGTGCTATCCTGGCCAACTTACAGTTCGCCTGCCCATGGATTGGAAACCGCTGTTGTATTGTATACTCACCTGTCTGTAGATATAGTGAGAAGATCCGTTGTTGACATCCAAGTATCGTTTTTTATATACTTCATACAAAAAAAAGTCAAGCCGCTGTCTTCCTTCTCAACAGCCAATTCCAACTGATTGCTTTTGTGCAAGAGTACTGCAATGAAGCCACTGTAAGTTTCTGGATCACTATCCGGCTGTTTCTGCCAGTATTTTTCTACCTCTAAGCTGAACCATTTGTAACTATCGGATGATGATGTATTCTCCAAGGAATAATCGGGCCACGCAAGCTCAGTCCAAAACACGCCATTGAAGAACTCATCTGTAAATATAGACAATGAAGTTAATTTCAAATAGCGTACAATTGTACGCAATACTGAAAATCGACTGGTAAACTACAAGATTGTTGAGCATTCCCATATTGCATGAACATCGTATACAATGTCAATTAAAATACCAGCAAAATATGAAGTACTTTATTTACGTCGCACTCAACGTCGTGAACAACGTCCTCAGCAGTACAGTGTCCAGATAGCTGTCTATCAGAGGTTCACCCAGTTTCTTCGAATTTATTTATGAAATCATGCAATTTTTCCGGGAACATGAGCCATGTTTTTAGCGATAGTTTTGGCTGTAGATATGGAATTTTTTTCGTAGCAGTTATCTCATTTTAATGAAGGAGTTATTATAATTCTCCACGAACTAGCTTTGGCTGAGTCATGGTGTCGGCATATGCGTGCTCCCGATTGAAAAATCAATATCTTCACTCTGCTAATTACAGATTTTCTATGTTAAATATCTGGCAAACGTCTTTCTCTGACTTTTGTCTTGACTCCAAATATTTTCCATATGCCACGATTGTGTATTTTTTGGCGGTGCGTAGTATTGTATTTTGTACGACGTGCATGGCGCTTCCGTTGTGATACGCATATCGTTCCAATGCTCTATCGGAGTTTTTGCATGCTCTGAATATTTGGCGACGGGAAAAAAGAGATTGTGATATTCAAAAAAATTTAGTGCCTGTAGAAATAACCGTAACTGTGGGCGTCATTTTGCTGTTGATCTCAGAAGCTCAAGCTCATGCCTCTAAATAGCTATATCTGAAATCTCATATTAATCAGTTGGACGGACCGACCACTAGAGATCCATAAATAGACCAAGTGTTTTATGATTATGTAAAAACAAGGCTTGAAAAATCCCTAAATATATACACGTCCTGCTGCGCATGCTAATCTACATACCCGAGCATGTTTTAATTTAATATTAATTAAAACATATGAATTTATAAGCCCCGTTTTTGAAAAACTCGCATGAAAATATTTGTCCAAACAATTTTAATTTTTGTATGGAAGAGCAATTCGAAAATAATTTTTCTACATTGTTACCAAACATTGTTGTCAGCCATGCGTCTTGACGGAAACTAAACCAAAAATTACATAGCAATAAATAAAATAAAAATGCATTCAAAATGCAAATTTTTTTTTTCTTGTACGCAAAAATGGTAAGTTAGGTGAAATAAATTGAAGTATTCACTAGAATTACAAGTTAAATGAAAAAATAGGCTTGGAAAAATAAATAATGTAACCAAAAAATAACGAACACAAATAAATAAATTGCAATAAATAAATAAATTATAATCAATAAACAAATTGCAATAAATAAATAAATTACAATAAATAAATAAATTACAATAAATGAATAAACAAATAAGTAGCAATAAATCAAAATAAATAAATGATTCAAATGCTTTTTTTAAAATATATATTTGAATATATCTGACCTAACAAATGGTAATTTTGGAGGATTAAATAGAATTACGCGATGGAGAGGCGAGTGGAACGAAAAAACAGGCTATAATTTGGAAGAATAAATTATAATACCAAAAAATAACTAGCAATAAATAAATAAATTACAATAAATAAAGAAGTAAGCAATTTAATATATAAAAAATATTTTTTTAAACAAAAAGCGGTAATTTAGGTGTAATAAATTAAATTACACATTAGATTTGCAAATTAATGACAAAATAGGTTTGGAAGAATAAATGAGGTAGCCAAAGAATACCAAACAAAAGTAAATAAATTCCAATGAATAAATAAACAACAATGAATCAAAATAAGTAAGCAAATCAAATAAAAAAAAATATTTTTGTTCAAAAGAAAAAAAGAAAGAAAAGAAAACTGCAATTTAGGGTGAATAAATTGATTTTTATAGAAAGAAAGTGGAAAATTGTGGATTGAAAAGCTAGTAGTGAAAGGGTTAATGAATATGGTTTACTTTTCTCCAGAAGACACTCTTCAATTTCGTTCAAATCCTTTCTGAATTGTTCCACTGAGAAAGGTTTGTAGAATTCCATTCCAGCAGACTGACAAACGTGTTTAGCAGCTCTTAAGTTGAGCATCAAGCACAAACCGACTTCATCGTTGATGGGGCAGTATGGTTTCCAGTTACCGTTGATGAGACAGTTATTATTCCTCTCTGAAAATGAAATAAAATACAGGGTGTCTAAGAAGTCAACTAGAAAGTAATTTTAGAGAAAACCGCAAGCAAAAAACAGAAAAAAATATCCGACAAAATACCGTTGGAGTCAGTGGAGTAACTTGTTTCTGGTACAGTTTCATTTTCGAGCGTTGATTCTTCAACAGTTTCATCATCATTCCTGAAATTACGTAGAATAGAAATGGACTGAGAACAAATACAAAGAATGCATTTTAAACGTTTCTTTGTTCTAGTATCGATCGATCAACCACACAAATTCGATTTTTTTTTACGCAACAACAAAAGAGGAAAGAACACCTTGATAAAATTTGATCTAATGATCTGATTTTCACATTTTTAGTCTTAATAGGTTAAGGGTCTACTTATTCATATACGAAATATTTTGTACCAGTGATGAAATGGCAACTCTCAATATTTGGTCCTGCATGGGACTGATCATAAAGACATGGTTCCCAGTAGAACTCCGAAGTCAAGCATCATTGGCTGCGGTCAGTAAACCGGTGGGTGACCACTTTGATCAGCCTGGCGATCAAAGGGGGACCGACCGAGGGGGCGAGGTATAGGTCCTCGTTAAACTGTTCTAAAGTAAAGTGATCAACTCCGTTTTTTCAAATTAAAAAATACCAAAATATATTTTTCTTGTAATTAGAGTGTCAGAAAAATATGTATAGAAGAGATCCCGGTGTCCCATCTTACCCAAGGGGATAAATATTGCTTTAATCAATGGGGTCAGGTGAGATAAATTGGGTAAAGAATCAAGATTTTTTTCAAGAAGGCTCTGAAACCGAACCATTAACTTAATTCTACTGAAATTTTGATGCATTTTATATACATTACATTCATATATATTAAATATAAAGCATAATTTATCTATTTTTTATTGTTCTTACAGTAATGTATTCATAAGACCATGTTATAATACCCCAGAGTGGGGTAAAGTGGGTAAAGTTCTAAATTTAGCATAAATTACACTAAAAACTCAAAGTAGGCATTGTTTTAGAAGTAACAAATACTCTTGAATTTATCAATCATTATTGTGTTTAAAAAAATGAATACTAATTTTTTGTATTATTAAATTAAAGAGTTAATGTCCCATACCTATCAAAATTAGGTTTCACTTCGGATGCAGTATATTTTGCTTAACTCTTCAAAATTTCTTCAAAAAATGCCAAAAAAACTGTAATAGTTTTTGGTAATATAAATCAGATGTAGTAATAGATTTGTTATTAGATAAATTAAAATATAAATTCGAGTGCAAAAATTAATATCCATAGTGAAAAATTTAAAGTTCTTTTATTATTTACAGCAAATTATTCTTATTCAATTTAGTTATTTTAAAGAAATTGCTTTCTTTTCCATGAAAAAACTGCCATATGATTGCAAAAGGTTTTGTGTAAACTTATCTATGTCTTTAAATATGCTCACTAATTTGTACCATTATTCTATTTCGGTAATTTTATTTGTCAATTAAATATGTAATATTGTTACCCCCCCCCCCCATAAATCTTCTGATAGAATTCAAAAGAAATCTCGTTTTCAGTGTTAAAATTACTACGCAGGGCTGTAATTAAACAAGTAAATTATTTTTTAACTATTTCATTATAAAACATAGAGCATTAGATACTTACTGAAACTGACACAGATAAAAACAAAATGTCCCTAGGATACAACATTTAGATAAGCCAAAGCATGCGCCCACTTAAACTACCTCAGAAAATAATTCATAATAAATAGAATTTTAAAATTTATACATAAACTTCTATATAAGTCTGTGCTTTAGATGTCATGTCCTTCTACCTATTTGAACTGAAAGTAACAGTTTTTGACAGATTTTAGTGATATTAGAAGAAAGATTATCAACAGCTTAAACTAACATACTGCATTAGTTGATCATATGCAGATAGTTTGATCATAAACAGATAGATAAATATGCTTGGTGTAACCCCAGTAAATGTCTCTAAAAATAACAAACTCTCCCAATTAAAGAGGAGAAAGTAGATGTATGTTAACCCCCACCTGAGCCCACCAATTTTGCATTGATATCATTTTACTGATAATTATAAAATGCAGTTTTATATCACTGGCTCCAGAAAACACATTGAAATTGACATCGTAAAATGCAGTCCGGATTATTTCTTACGAGAAACGATTGCGATCGTATCAATGTCATCGATAAATTAATATCGATATAGTTTTGGTATCATATCAATAAAAGATCGATTATAACTTTTTAACGCTTACCTTATTGTAGTTATGGTAGAAAGATCTGATATCGACGTCGTGAAATTTGATATTACGTATTTCTTGCAGAAAAATTGCACTCTACGTATCGTTCCATTTAAAACTGGAAACACGAACTTAGATTCCTCGTATAGGACTGTGATAAATCCTTCATACAGGAATGGTAATCTGTGAAAGTTTTTTACAAAATATTTTTGAATCTCTTCTTTCAACCATTCATAATTATCAGACGATGATGTTTTTGATAGTTCTTTATTGGGCCATTCCATTCCTGTCCAAAAGCGAAGGTCAGGAATTTCATCTGAAAATAAGAGGAAATATAAATAATATCTAAATGATTTTATTTAGAGTACATAAATAGTTTTATTTCTTATCATAAACTAATTTTAAAATAATTATGAAAATAAACTTTAAAAATAATCAATTAGTAAAAATTTTAGAACATTAATAATCAATAGCAATAAGTCACTAAAGTTATTATACTCTTGCATTGTATTCTCATGAAATCATCATTTTTATTTCTTAGAGTTCCGCGTTAAAATTTTAGATTTCAAAATTGTTTATAATGTTTTTAAAAGGCTGAAGGTTTTCAGAACTTGTTTTATTTTTTGGGATGAAAAATTCAAAAAGAAAAAAAGTCCCTACTTTGTGGGAACGATTTCGTATTTGATTTCTTCTAAATAACATAAAAATTAAAATGCATTGATTTTATTGGATAAATGATTTAAAGATGGTCCAAATAAAAAGTGGACACGAGCAATTGTGTCAGAATCACTACAGCTATAGCTGTAAGACCGAACAGGGATATAAAGGGCAGAAGGAGTTCTGTACACAGCGTAAAGCAGTGAATTTTTTCTTGGTTGAGAAATTTGATTGAAATAAAGCCATGATATGTATGGTTGCGTCCAAATCAAAACAACGATTAATTTACTGTCCCAAGGGGCACTATAAATTCAACACAATACTGTAGTACACTGATGAAACTACGGAAAGCAATCAAAAGCTTTTTCTCATAAGAAATTATCCTTCTATATGACGATGCCTGACCATTCGTGAAAACAAGATGACCTTACAAAATTTCCATTGGGATGTACTGGAGCACTCACCATACAGTCCAAATTTGTCACCCTTTTAACTTCAGCATCTTTGGGCTTCTTAGGTGAGCGTAACACGTTTCTATTCAAACTACAAAATGGAAGGAGCTGTGCAGGTATTCCTCCAGAATCAACCACAATAATGAGAAATTAAAATATGTAAAATAAAATTTTCTTAACTTTGAAAAATGAATGGTCTTCATTAACAAACGACATATTCTTAAATATTTAACATCTAAGCATTTTATGGAACTAAAATAAAACAAATGACCAAACGATCATAAAGATTTTTATAAATTCAATTATTATTTAAAATAAAAGAAAACGAAAAACTCATCAATTCATCAATCTAACTGTTAGTTGAGCTTTCTGCTGTGGAGTGGCGATAAAATCGTTTGCGCTAGACTTGCAGTGTCGGTGTTTAACGATAAAAAAAATCGGAAGATAAAAAATCAAATCAAAAGATAAAAAAAAGTATTTTTATAAGACGATATGCTCTTATTTTTATTTTTTATAAAAGCTCAGTAAAATGGCAGCACTCTAGCCATAACTTTCTTAGCTTCATGCTACAGTAAAAAGGTTAACTACTAGTTTGACTGACGAGTTTATCGTTTCCTTTTATAATTTTTAATTGACTTTTTATGAAGTTCATAGCAATTTTCGTCTTTCGTTTTATTTTAGTCCAATGAAATGCTTAAAGTTTATTTCTTTAAGGATGCTGTTTGTTAATAAAGAGAAAAGCACACTTTACAAAGTAAGTTACGATTTCATTTTAAATATTTTGATTTCTCAGTATTTTCCTTATAAATAGATTTGTTTTTATGTTTAATAAAATACGTATTCATATGAATGGCACATACAATTACCCCTTTTAAACTAAAGAATAAATTCCAAAATCGTTATTATTGTTATTTTTATTTTATTTTCTCTGTTCATAAAAGAATTTATTATATTACAGAATAAGAAAGAGTAAGAGTAAATAAGTATATGAGGGTATATATATTTTTGTAGGATAGAACTAAAATCAAAACTGACAGATTTGGCAAATTTTATGTTTCTAAATAATTGTACTACATGAAAAGATTTCGGAACACTAACATAAGTTCACCCAATTCTATCTTTATTCAATAATTTTTAATGGAACGAGGCAAAAATTTGAATTTTTGAACTAATTTCACTTAGAGAAAGGCAAGTTTTTCTTTATGGCTTTTAAGCTCAAGTTTGCCCTTATTTTGAAAAATGTTTTCTTAATTTTCAACTTTAATTCAAATTTTCAATTTGAAGACCCTAGACTTGAAACTAAAAATTTAAATTATTCCAATTAAAATATATAAACAACTAATTAAAATCAACTACGTTTTAATTAATTAATTAATTAAAATTAGAATTCTAATAATAATTTAAATAATTAAAATTAAGACTTTTAAAAATACTTTAATTAATTAAAGTTAACCTTTAAAAATAATTTAATTAATTTAGATATTAAGATTAATCTAACTAATTAAAATATAAATTTTAAAAAAAATGTCTCACAATCAATCAAATACTTAAAAATTGCACACAAAAAAAAAATTGTCAGTGAAATGGAGAAATAGTTGAAGGGAGCATTAAAAGTTATACGTAACAAAAATCTGTAA